AGATAAACTATCGCATGGTCTGGGGAAGAGCTGGAAGGTCAGCTGCTTCCTTCATATTACCAGCTTTAAGAAACGGTCAGCACTGAAAGGCGATGGGTAGTGTTTGCAGTGGATAGGAGAAATGGGACTCCTACTGGGCTTTTTAATGAGCGAGGTGTGCTGGCCCTCTTTGTACCAGAGGCAAAGGTGGAGGAAATAGCTCTGGGGCTACTTCATATCCTCAGGATGTCGTGTCTCCCCCCCCCCCCCCCCCCCCCCCCGCTTTTATTTTATATCTCACGTTGCTGCTTGTAAATCCGGAAGGAACATTAGTCACAGATTGCAGGGAAAGCTTTCTTCTGGCAAAGGCGAATTATAAAGTAAACTATAAATAGTTCACAGTCCAGCAGTGATTAAACTAACTGTAGACACTTAGTTTAAAATCCATAACTGTCCATTGGACTGAAATAGTTGAATTTTAAGCAGAAGCAATTTTTAGCTCATTGGTGGAAGAGGCAATCCACAAGTAGATTGCAGCCAAATTCTTATCACTGCGCCTAACTCGGAAAGTGTGCTCATTGGAGTCATGTCTCTGTAGTTTGGCTGCACCAAATGTCACTGTAGACTGGATAGCTTCTCACTAACAGTTGTTACACTTCATCCACTGCTGTAATGCAGGTGAAGTGTTCCTGAAGTGTAGAGTAAGTGGGTGTTTTTGGTTTGGGCTTTATGAAAAGTCCAAAATGAAGATCAAGGGCAACTCTCTTGGCTTGGTGTTGAGGCCATATAACTAGCGCTATGTTTTATTGTGGTAGTGAAAATGACTGGCTCACTCATGGATCAATAGGTTGTGATGTGGGAAAGTTAGCTCTTCCAGTAAGTACTTTATGCTGTTGCTTTTCAAGGATACGTGAAGGCTTTAGTGTCCTGCTTCAGAAGATTTTAATGAAGCTCCATACTTTTCTAAAATAGTTTCCCGGGGGATACACCACTATTTAAATCTGTTTACTGGCAAATTGTGTGCCCAAAACCAACCTTCCAGACCTCTTCCTCCTATCTGCAGCAGCAATCTTTGAACAAGTTTTGTTTGCTCAGTAAAAATTATTATTTTTTTTTTAAGCAAACAAAATCCTGCCCTATAGTGCTGTAAAATCAAAAGTGGGGAACAAATAGCTGCAAACTAAATGGAAATGTTAACCCTTGCACCTGCATCATCCTACCCCCGTTACAAAGCCTTTCAAGGGGAAGGATCTCTTGATTTCAGTATACTCCGTCTATCCATAAAATGATCTTTGGGCACTGGATTGGCTTTGACTGACTAGATGGGAGCTCTTCTCTTCCAGGCCACAAGTTTAAATTCTGGTTCGAGGAGTAGTGACTGAAAGTTACCATATTGAAGCTGTTTAGCGGCCCGGGTGAGGGCTTCTCAAGCTCTCTCACAGGTAGGATCATCTTAGTTTTTCTCCTATTATCTTGTAGACCTCTTGTCCATATGCTATTACACAGATCGCTTCCCCTCCCATGCATGATGGTCAGATGTCTTTGTGGCTGTAACAACAACTCCTTATATGGAGAAGTTGCTATTAGGAAAGTATTTTGTGTATTTGTAGGGGTTTTTTGTTGCAATCTTAGCAGCTAAGAAAAAAGAGAACCAAAACCAGCTGTCTCTCTGTGGCCCGCCAGTGATCCATGGATCACAGTTGGGGAACCTCTGGCCTCAGAACAATGAGTTGGTGGTCTCAGCTCTTTCCAAAGGATAGGGGTGCACATCAATAGAACCAGTTACCCTTGGCACTAATTACCTCCCATGTTGATGTGATCTTAGTAGAGGTCAAGAAGTGCACCGTTCTGGAAACTGAACTACCCTCTCTCTTCACAGTGATGGTCCCTTCAACTAGGAATGAAGCACATGGTAGGGTCATGTGGATGATCTTGCAAGTGCCCAGATAGTGCTAGCCATCCACTGAATGGTGGCAATCTGTTGCCCCTGGTACCCTCTCTCTTGCTCTGGGACTTCTCCCTTTCTTGGCATTGAGATCTGGATACTTGTTGCTCCTGTTTATTTTGTGAATGTGACTATCAACACCAGGAATCTGACTGTCCTAGAGTCAGGCCAGCCTTTAAATAGCAGCAAGCCTATGGGAAGTACAGCAGGCTGTCCACTCCAGCCTCAAAAGATGGCAGTTCCAGGGTATTGAATCTCTCTGAAACCAGTTTCATTTGGTTGTTTCTATCCTAGCAGTGCTGCACAATCACTGCTTCCGTATGCACTGCTACTGTTCTTATTTTGAAAGTTTGCTGCTACAGTATAGCTACATCTGCCAATCTGTCTGATACTACTTGGATTTACGCTCACATTCAAGGACTGCTTGATTTTTGGCTTCTGCCAGAAGTGTCACTACAGTGGTAAAATGTTGCTCCTTCAGGCTGTCTCCAGATAAGTATGGTTCCTGCATCATTTGCTATAATGGTTCTGATAGCTTGAGGAATCTGTGCTCTCTCCATGGCAAAAAGCCAAGTGCATAATTTTAAATTTACTCAGAATAATGTGGCCTTGAATAACAGAGTCCCAGATTTAGTGTTGCAGGATAAAGTGACTAAGGGTTTTATCCAGCCTTGCAGTCCCTCTTTAAATACTAGTAGTTTAATCCTGGCAAGCAAGTACTGGCCTGTCTTCAGTTGAAGCTAGTCTTTCACTGCCATCCTGTCTCTGGGTCCTAAATTGTTTTGTTGGAAGGATTAGCAACTCCAGTCTTGTATGATTTCATTTTTTTATGGTGTACGTCCACTAGCTGAAAACAAACACTTGCTCTCTGACGTGAACATAGAACCTTGGAATGCTCCTAGATACAGACAAGTCCCATTCAGCTGAATAGTTACAGCGAAACAAATTAAAACATCACTTCACAATCCTGACTTTTTTTGCTTGGTTCCAGTCGCTTGTGTCACCCAATCTTTGTTATGTGGGAGGATGATGTCTCTGCATGCTGAGCTGCAGCATGAAACCTTCACCACTGAAGAAAGACTACGGTGTGTTAGGAAAGGGATGGATTATTAGCGAGGCTCCTGTTTCAGGCAGTACTGCTTCTCTGAGCGTATCCATTGAAGGGGGAATTTTTTTGTTTTCTTGTGCAGTTTGCCTGGGACCATACTTAAGGTGTTGTAAAGGAATCTCAGTATGGCAGGTGTATTTAGTTTAGTACTATCTGCTGGTAGATGGCAGGCCTTGGGAAGTGGGAATACAGTTGCCCTGTTGAAGACCCCCTCTGTTCAGAAACTCTTTTAACAGCACACACACCATGTGGTATGATCTAGTGACGGGAATAGAACTCTCCCTTCTGGCCTCCCCACCCCCATTTTGATAGTTTCAGCTATGTGTATGATTCTTGGTATGATCTGATATCTTTCTGTGCTGTCTTGTTAGGTATGCGTTAATTACCTGTAGTTATTTTCTTCTGGTAAATGCTGTGGATTTATTGTCAAAGCCTTGATGATTATACTGTGCTGCCATGTGGGCTACTTGCAATTCAACAGACAGGCTGTAAACTGATGCAAATCTCATGATGTATGGTTGACCAGTACCAAGTTCTGCCAACACTGACACAAGCTTGATTGGAAGTACAGTGAACTGTACAGCTTGCAAGACTTCCCAGGACACTAATGCAGCTGGGGGTAGCTATAAAACAAAAAGGGAGTGGGGAAGGAAAATACAAATCTATAAACCCTCCCTCCAAGACGAGGTTACCTTGGCATTTCGTCCATGGTGTAACAGCCCTTGCTTAAATCCACATTTCATGTAACTGCAACATTCCTCAGCTCAGTTGTCTGACCAGGTAGGAGTTATAAGTTTTTAAATTAAAAAAAAAAATAAAAAAATCAAATCTCTCTTGTAATGTAATGTAGTGTGGGATTGTAGTGAGAGAAGAAGGGGGGAGGGGAGGTGAGAGAGAGATCAGGAAGATGCCGTTGATTAAGAATCCTTTGTTTTGCCCATGCTGGTACAGATCTGTATCTAAACTGCAGTCTACTAGGACTATTGGGTCAGCACTAAATCCTTGGGCCCCATTCCAGATATTAAAGCCATTTCTAAATTTTATTTGGTTTCTGGGTAGAATTTGGATGTTGGTGACTATTAAATGCAATCAGCTGAAGTATCTCTTACTACATTAATGTGGAAAAGTGTGGATTTGATGTTAGAATGTTCTGAATGGAGCATTTTGTTTTTTGTTAATGAATCTAGTTTCACTGAGATTCTGATGAGAAATTTGGAGTGAACACTGCACTCCTGTTTCTAATTGGGTATCATTGAAGGAAACCATAGACATGAATAGAAGTAGACACATAAACTAGTTCTGATTGTGAGCATTTCAAACATATTGTATATTCCCATCTCCATTGGTATTATCTAGATAATTTGTTTTTTTTGTCTCTGTACAGTATGTGGGAGCATACAGGCCCAGCTTGAGCCTCCAAGATATTGCTGCACTGAGGATTGATTTTTTTTAAAAGCAGTGTGTCTCTTTCAAGTGTGGATAATAAATTCCACCCTCTGTTTCAAACCCACTCATGCACTTGGATTTCTAGTCTTAGTGTTGCTCTACCATTTATTTTGGAGGGAATATTTTATTCGTGAAGATTAAGAGACCTGCAGAAATAGAAACACACTCTTATACTTGTAGCTGTACAGTTCAACCAGCTGCCCCAGTACTGATCTCTGCTCTGGATTAAAGGCCAAATCTTGACTCATTCATGTGACTTGCAGACTCAGGAAGACAATAGTACCTTCATTATTTGTGGCTTACTCCGCACATTCACAAGCGGATGTGTGGAGTATCTGTTTATGAAACTAAGCTTATTCATTAAAGTCTTGTGTCCAGGGGAGGATTCTGTGACCCATTCCATGAGTGCAGAATCCCTGGGACTCAGATAAATCATCTGTCTGCCATGTATTTATGCTATGGAGATGCCTCTGATGTAACTGATTTTTTTTTTTTTTTTTTTTGGTGTGTCATCTTCCTCAGGCCTTGTTGCTGTTCGGTGGTGTTGCCCTGTCCTGCCTTGCTCTGGATCTCCTCTTCCTCCTCTTCTACTCATTCTGGCTGTGCTGCCGCCATCGAAAAAGTGAAGAGCACTTAAATGCAGATTGCTGCTGCACTGCTTGGTGTGTTATCATAGCCACCCTTGTCTGCAGGTGAGTTTACATTTTGTCTGCAGGGTAAATTAACATCACCTATTTTGTCACTGCCACTTCCTCCACTGCATCCCTCCCACACCATACATATGCTGAGCATCAGCTACCAACGCAGTGACTCAATATATTGGATACAGGGTATTGTTGGAAACAGCCTCCTCTCTTTTAGCGTACTCCTAACTTTAAAATCCAGCATAGACTTTTCTGATTGCTATTCCACACCTTACTGCATAATGGTTTGAGTCATATGATGATGACTATAAAGTGCCATAACAGCAGCAGGGTATTTGCCATTTTCTAGCAGTTAAACAAGGACCCTGTCCTGAGAGGCTTATCACCTAATTAAGATGGATGCAGTTCAAATAATTATCAGGCCTAGTCAGGAATTTACATTGGAAGCAGGTTTCCCTAAGGAAATAACAAATATATTGGGTAGGTGGATTTAGGGGGTAAAAAAGCATGGTTCTTCCTCTTGGAGTTTGGAATACTGACTTCTTCCTATGTAAATGGTATTCAGTGCTTGCAATCCTGATTGCTCCATTTTTATCCCTTTGGTAAGACTGATGCACTGCCTTAAGGATTGCTAGTGATGTTGCTAGTGTCCGCCACTAATGTTTTAATGCCAGAAACATTCGAGGGAGGTGAAGGAGACTGGCAGCAAGTGGATAATGGGGAAAGAGAATACAGTCCTATTGGATTCTGCTTTTGGGTTGGTGCAGACCAGGAACCCTGCCTTCCAAAAAGTTAGTGGCAGGAGTTAGGAAATAGAAAACTCAGTTAAACAATTTCTGAAACAAACCCGGGGCTTTATTTGGACAGTGTGTGGCAAAAACCGTACACTGCAGCCTGTGAACTGTGAGTAAGTACCCCTGCATTTAGATCAATCTCTGCCCTTTCTTGACAGCACTTGGGCTCAGGGCCGGCTCTAACTTTTTTTTGCCACCCTAGGCAAAAAAGAAGAGCGCTGCCCCGCCGTAACACCCCCCCCCCCCCCCACCCCTTCCCCCCCACACCCCCCCCCCCCCCCCCCCCCGCCCGCCCGAACCAAAACACCCCAAAAAAAAAAAAAACCCTTGAGCGCCCCCCGCCACCCCTTCTGAGGTGCCGCCCCAAGCACGTGCTTGGTTGGCTGGTGCCTAGAGCTGGCCCTGCTTGGGCTGATCAGTGTCCATACTCGCAAAACTAGTCCTGCTGTAGAGGTGATCTCCCAGGTGTGATCGTGGTGATTTATGGTTAGAAATACCATGCAACTCTACAGTATCGATTACCATGCATCATCCTGGTTTCTAACTCTTAAAGTATTCTGAGAATACTTGGGAGAAGATCATGCATTCCTTGACCATGCAAAACTACCATGTCAGTCAGATCAGGCCTTAATTTTCACTTACCTGTCCTGAACACACTGATCAGGTGCAGTTATAGTGAATCAGCACTGTAAAAAGCTAGAAGCCTGGGAGAATCATTAGGGGGCTGTTGCTTTCGTTTATTTCTCCTTCCAGTGTTTGAACTTGTGGGGAATTCTTCACTTCTGAGGAAAGCAAAGGGAGAGAAATGGGGAGGGGATTGTCTTTTTCTTCCCCCTCTTTCTCCTCACGTGGTGAGTCGGTGGCTGTTTGGACTGCAGCATTCAGGTTTGCATGGTGGCGGGGCTGTGTTCTGTGGATAAGGGGCTTAGCTGCCTGAGGAGGGATTAGCTTGTACTCTGTACATGTTCACATTTGCTCTTTCCAGGCACAGGGCAAAGAGAATCAAAACCCTCTGAAGTGCTAGAGCAAACAGTGAAGCAGAGCAGTGCGTTCTATTGTGAGCATAGAAAACTGGGGATGGATTCACCTTTAAAGGCTGAGATTTGCAATGTTTGAGAAGGGCTGGCATCTTGTCGCACAGTGGCTTCTGTTCAGAGAGTAACTGTGCCTTTCTAGGTAAATACAGATGTATTGAGTGGAAAGGGGGGAAATAATAGTTTTCAGAGAATAAATCTAAACTCCCAGTCACCTTGCTTGTTCGTGGACCCAGGAGCTTTAGCTGCATGAACATCCACTCTCAATTTATTTGAAAGTGCTGTGTTCCTAACCTTTTCTTACAGGAGCTTTAAATGATGCTATTTATAAATGTTCTGCTTCAGGCTCTTGGTAGCTATTGTTATGCAGTGTTTTTGTGTCCAAGGCATCTGCAGTAGTGAGGTTTTTAAACTGTAGAAAGGGTGAGATGGGAAATGTTGTTGTGGGTTTCGTGCCTCCCAAAGTAGGCAGGTAAAAGGTTAAATTACTGATCATACACCCCACAAAAAACTGGTGTTTGAAAGTAAGCTAGAGAGAATCTCTTCTGAAATCTCAACTAGCTGCTTCAGTGTTTGATAGTCTAGTTGTTTTTCCCAAGCATGAATTGGGAGGAGTGTGTCATTACAGCAAAGGTTTATGATTTGTCCAAGCAATATCTTCTTCTTTCCTTCCTCCTCCAGGAAAATTCTTGCTAGACTCTTCATTTATTTTACATTTGCCCCGCTCCCACCCCACCGAATTGATAACTGGCTAGCTTATGAAGCAGTAGTTCATAATCACTGGTGGTGATTGAAAGTGCTGTCCAAATGCTGCTTTCTCTCTTGCAAAGACAGCATCTGCTATCTTTGCAACCTGCAGCTCTGGTAAGTTGCCTGTTTTTCAGATGTCCTGCTGCTAGAGGTGGCAGTACAGGAGAGTTTATGGCTGGCTAAGGAACACAGTATGGACAACCCTTTGCTTTCTCTGCACTTTAAAAAGGGTCTAGATGTCACAGATTAGCTTGTGGTGCTAGTCAGAATAGTTGACTGGGTATATATTCTACCGCAGGACTCGGAAGAACTAAGGGTGGCAGACCGGCAGATGCCAATGTATTTTAGGGTGACTGGAAATAAGACTACTCCAGATGTCTGTCTTCCAGCACCTGGAGAGAGAATATGTAATCGACCTCTGGCTCTGGCTTGTTCTAGGATGATTACAGAGAAATTCTGCTCATTTAGCAAAGCTGGCCAACATGGACTATAGATGTGAGGAGTGGATGCAAAGATGAAAATTTATAGCTTGGCTGTTCAGACAGTGAAAGGTTCACAATGTCTAATCATTGAATCTCCTTTCATTTTTTATTTGAAAGGAGATTCAATGATTAGACATTGTGAACCTTTCACTGTCTGAACAGTCCTCCTACCTGAGAATTAGCTAACTTTGGACTATATACGCACTCCAAATAACATTGCTAGACTTGCTCATCTGAGTAGTATTTTCTTCCCAGAAGGCCAGTTGCTCCATGAGCTGCCTTTGTCACTTCTGAATACTTAGGAAGCCTGGTGATCAGTCTCACATTGGGGGCATGAGTGGTGTTTCTCACTTCAAGCCCTGCACCCTGAAGGCCCAATATTACAGTAGTTTTCCTCCTGGATAGGAAAACTGAATGAGACACACCAGGGGTGTAGTGAGGGCCCTGATGCAAAAATAGATTAGGGGCCTCCTTCCCAATTCTGAAATCCTCAAATGTTGCTTACCTTTACCAACATGGAAAATCAGAACGTACCTGTCTTATCCATAAATACCCCAACACAATATGCAGGCTGTCTAAACACACAAGTTCTCTTTACACGTTTATACAAAAATTTCACTGTTCAGTGAGCTAGTGCTAAATTTTATGGTGCAGGAGCTCTGCAGACATGATCTCAAGTTGGTAATTCTGTCAGTGTGAGTGTCTCCAAAATCTATCTTGTTTGGATGTTTTCGTAAGATAAAGCACCTATATTCAAAACCTAACTAACACTTTACCAGTAAATTTTATCTAATGGAAAAATCTGTGCAACAGCAGTTGAGACTTCATACATTAGTAAATATACATATTGTATCAACATAAAACACCTGGAACTCCGCTTTTATGTGCCGAACTTCTAACTAAGTAGCAAAGCATATCCAAAGCATACACGTAGTAGGTCAAAAAGCCTTAGAGCTTGCGTCACCATTGTTCCTCCAGTTTCAAGTTGGTGCAGCTCTACTGGAACTAACTGAAGGGCACTACCGCTGTAAAAGATAGGGAAGTAATTCAGTGGGGAATCAAACCCCAAATCTTCATACCCGCACCAACAATTTTGCCCATGGAACACTTGCCATTTGAGCACAGACAGCATTTGCTTTGTGTTCACAAATAATGTGGCTGGGCACTAAATGCAAACAAGTGGTGTCATAAATGTGCTCTCTGTGTCACAAAACCAAACAAGGATCCATACTGCCAAGTTATTTAAAAAAAAAAAAAAAAAAAAAAAAATTAAACCCACAACCTCCTCAGCACTTTTATAGAAATTTTACCTGACCTAGATAAAGAGCCAGACCTCACCAATATCTCACCTCTCTAAATACCTCTAAGGTATGCTATTCGGGTAGGGTTTGATCCTACCCTAATGAGGCATGGGTCACTGCTATGCTCCAGTTACTTTTGGGCCACTCCATAAATCCAGTTTAACTGGCTAAACACGCTAGGTTGACAATGGAAAATCGTTGTCAGAGTTGCATAGGAGCTAGAGTGCACCTGTGAATCTAGCCTACTTAGGAGAAGCACTTTGTAACAGAATAAAGAGATTAACTCTGATCAGGGGCTGCACATGTCCATCACAACAGTACCTGAGTTCCCCTGCCCCCTTGTGCGGGCCCTGCATCTTTTTGGATGAGCTCCTCACTATTGAAGCAATGGCCACAGTCTGAATCCAGAGCAAGGGCCTGTGGGGACAGGCATAGGGTGGCAGGTGTGGTCTGAGCATCACCACAAGCAGCTCACGCTGCGGTGGGATGTGGTAGGTGCAGGAGTGCTTCTGTGGGAACCCAGCTGGCTGGGGGCCACTTCCTGCCCTGTTTGCCTAAAGGTAGACTGGCATAACTACAGCAGAGTGGCCTCTGCAGATTGGGCTCCCATAACCTCCATGGGCTCTAATGTGACTACCTCATTGTAGCTTTGTCCCTGAGATACACTGAGCCTGTCCTTGCGGGGAGGAGTCATGCTGAGTGGTACAAAGCATGTCTCCTTCACACTGTGAGGTGTGGGAGTATTGAGCCCTAGAGCACAGTGCTCTGAGATTGGCAGGTCTGCTTACACTCAGCCACAGAATATACTTCTTCAGAACCTTCCTGTGTTCTCCAATGCATATCTGGTTTGTGTAATGGGACAAATATTTACATTCTAATGCAAAGAAAAGAAATTTTCCAGCAGATAGCAAATAGTGCCTCCATTTACACAGCCCAGTGGCCGGCGTCGCTCTCTCTCTCTCTCGCTCTCTCTCTCTCTCTCTCTCTCTAACTGCTCCTATAAAACTTCAGGCAAATGCTTGCTAAGACACAGACTCTTCAAAAGTGGTTTCTAATTCTGTTTCACCATTTTTGGGTACCCAAGCTGAGTTGTCTTGAGTCCAGTTTTCAGAGTGGCACATCCACAGCTGCAGATGATTTTACTTGGAGTTGTCAGCACTCTGCATCTGTGTTGAGACACTTAGAGGCTGCTTTAGATGGGCACCCAAAATCCGACTTCCCACAGTGGTGACTCCTACAGCTCCGTCCTGCAGGGCTGCCTGGATTCTGCTCCTTGCTGCAGGGGGTCACACACTCAGGTTTGGCCCAGCCACCCCTCTGTGACAATGACAGGCTGCCAGTGGGGCCAAATTTGAGTGAGTGGCCCTGCGACCATAGCGGTCACAACACTTGGAGCGGGGAGCCACCCCCAGCCAGCCCCACAGGACAGGCGCCACTGCTATGATACGCACCGTGTACTTTTTTAGCAGTTATTACATTAGTGTCTGTTAGATAATCTAGGTAAGAATATTTACTAAGACAGATCTTTTTTTGCTAGGATTCCCCAGTGGCATCCCCATTACTTTCTCGCTAATCTCAAGCTGCCTTCCCCTGACCTGTGACAGCTCATTCTCTCTCACAGCTGGGACCAGAGCACAGCAACCCTTGCAGGCACTGAGCTTCCTTCCCTCCATTGTGGTAGGAAAAGGAATGGCAGGGCCGGCTCCAGGCACCAGCCCAGCAAGCAGGTGCTTGGGGCGGCAATTTGGAGGCAGATCCCTCTCGGAGGGAAGCACCTGCCACCGAATTACCGCCAAAGAAGAAAGCGACGTGGTGGAGCTGACTCCGATCGCAATTGCTTGAGGCGGCAAAAACCCTGGAGCCGGTCCTGGGGAATGGACATGTTGTGAAACTTGCTTCTGTAAAAAGAACTTCTGTATTTCAGTGGCTCTTACTGACAAAGAACAGGATTGAATAGTTCTTCTTGGTGGTGTAATTAACACCGTCTTTAGCCCACAGTGGATGTATGACAGACATCTTGACTTGCAGACTTCAGTGGTATCTTTAATTTTGAATTTCCTTTATCCTCCAATCCTGATATTGAATGTCTTAATAGATTTCCTTCTATGGAAGTTGCTGTCTCTTGGTGGGAGAAGGGCACTCAAGTGAACATCTGCCTCCTTTGTCAGGGAAGCAAGAGACTAACCACTGTTCTAGTGCCGCAGCTCTAGAACCCTCTGACGGCTTAGCGTATGTCTGTCTCTTACGCGGCTGGCTGCTCAACTGCCTAGTCAGTATTTATAAACTGAACAGGGTACAGTAAAACTGGCTTAGGCACCTGGCTGTGCCCCATTATTAAGTACAAAGTGTCTGCTACTCCTTAAGGGTGCTGTTTCTGATCTGTTTTGATTAAAATGCTGCTGTGCAGAGAATACTGAGAACCAGGCAGCTGACTCCTGCGCTGATCAAGTCTGTTCTGGAGGAGTGACTCTAATGCAGCTGTAGTTTGCTGCAGAATAGTGGTCCTACAAAAACCGTAGGGATCAAATCTGTGCTGCTCCATTCTTAAGAATGGTCTAGAACGGACTCAATTTAGACAACAAAACAATCAGGAGACTTTGTCTCCGTTCTCGGGGAGGGTGCGATCTGCTCAGTGTCTGGTGCCACCCCCCCCCCCCCCCCCCCGCAGCTACTTTCCTTGGCTACTAAGCATGGGGTTGGCGGGGGCTGATGTGCGTAGTGCAGTGACATGGCTCCAAGCTTCTTCTCACGCAGGACACAGCCCTGGACTGTCCGCTTCTAGTTTGCTTTGCTCATGACTAACGCTCATCCTGGAGTTACAGCTACTGTCAAAGATAGAAATTCCAGCAGGGGAGGAATCTGGAGGGTTTTCGCTGTATAATTACCAATTCCATTTACATGATGAAAGTGCTTCTGTGGAAAAGTGTTCATGGGAATTGAATCTCTTTCCTGTACTAGGACTGTAAATGTCATTAGAATTGTATGCCTTCTGCCTCTTCCTGAAGCAATCAAGATGTAGGTCAGCTACTCCCTCTGTGGAAAACTCCTCAACTAAGGCTTTTACAGGCCATGCCCTTTATAATTTATGAAGGCCCTGATTGCTGGGAAAATCCATGGGACTGACACACTCATGCAGCTGCTCTGCTTCCAGTGTGTGATCTCTGCTTCTGTTTTCTGTGTGTTTGAGAACAAGTAGAGATGCAGTTGGGGCTAGCTACACTGTCCTGCTGGTCCTTTTTAACATGGTACGGCTAGGGAGCGGGGGGGCTATTTTTTTTCTGCAGCAAAGGAGGAATTTATCTGAGCTAGAAATTTGGAAGACCGCTTGGCATACTTGCCAGGACAGATCCACGTGCAAAAGTCCATTATCTCTCTCTTCCCCCCCCGCCCCCCCTGGTTCTGAAGGGTTTTGTTTGGAGTACTTCCTTCCTACACCACTATCAAACCTCCAGGGCAGTAGCTGTAACCTGTAACCCAGGGATTGGCAGAAAGTTGGTGCAGAGAAATTAGATGTCTAGCTAGTATTCAAGCTAGAGACCTAAAAACACCCAATGAAACAAATAAACATGGCATCTTGAGGGCCACCATTGCACCAGGAATCTTTCCCATCTTTGTGTGAAGCCCCAAAATCTGAAATGGGAACAGGAAGTTCAAAAAACACAAGAATTGCCATAATTTAGGCAACCTGTTGTCTAGGTTAACTACATACCTTCCTTCCTTCTCTCTTCCCGCCCCATCCTACTGGGGACAGAACTGGGTGGATGGATTTTAGGTGAGGGAGGAATGGAAAGGGAGATCACTGAAAGTGTCTCTGGTGTGATTGCCTGATGGAAGCAAGGAGGTGTCACTGACTTGGAGGAGATACCCGTCCCGTTTCCATTGCTGTTCCTTGGTTACGTGCTCTGCCTCCTTTTGGTTAATGGATTCCAAAAGAACCAATCCATGGTTTTGACTGGAAAATGGGTCTGTCTGACCAGAGCCCAGGTTATACATCAGTAAGAGTCTGAACGATCCCAAACTAAATTCTCTTGCTTTGAAAATCAACTTTTTATTTTTTCTAAACTTGTGTCCCAGTGGTTACAAGTCCCTGCTATCTTAATACCATAATCCCCATTAGAAATCTTGATGCTATGAGAGGACTGGTCAAAGTAGATGCTGATGCAGTTTTATATTTTAGAATAAGGGAGGGGGGGTTAATAAGATGGGTCTGGAGCAAAGTAATTCGTGCACAGATGCTTGAGGCATGGGGTCTCTGTCTACACGGATCCTGTCTTACTGTTGTAATGTCAGGATAACTTCTGTTACTCGGGGGTGTGAATAAGCCACCTGCCTCAGCGACATGAGGTATGTCGGTATAAGTGCTCGTGTGCACAGCGCTACGTTGGCAAGAGGAGCTCTCCCACCATAGCTTCTGCCGCTCACACAGTGGTATAGAGCGTCTTCACCAGACACGCTGCAGTGGCGCAGCTGCAGCGCTGTATGTATAGACATGGCCTAAGTAAGGCTTTTCAACAGTGGGTGTGAATGGCTTCTCCTGCATGTGGGTTGGAATGTGGCACCTATTTAGCAATGCACAGCAGTACCTCAGGGTAGTTGGGGGGACACTTGGCTAGGTGATTATAATCCAGATAGCCCATGGGGATGTTTGAATTCTGTTTGCCCTGCATCTAAGGGTACGTCTACACTACCCGCCGGATTGGTGGGTAGTGACCAATCTATCAGGGATCGATTATTGCGTCTAGTGTAGACGCAATAAATCGATCCCCAATCGCTCTGCCATTGACTCCGAAACTCCTCCACGGCGAGAGGCTGAAGCGGAGTCCATGGGGGAGCGGCGGACGTGGATCCCATGCCGCGAGGACGCGAAGTAAGTGATTCTAAGTCGATCTGAGATACGTCAACTTCAGCCACGCTATTCTCGTAGCTGAAGTTGCGTATCTTAGATTGATTCCCCCCCCCCCCGCCCCATGTAGACTGGGCCTAACTCTCGTAGCTGGGCCATAAACTACTCTTTTTTTCCTACCCCTAACAAAAGGGTGCATGTCTCTCAGCCTAGAGGCACTGAACAGAGCCCACAGTTACACTTGTAGCATATCAGATCTGATTTTCAGGTTCACCAAATCAGTCCCTTATATCTTTCCGTCTGTCCTAGTGAATAGGGATAGTGTCATTACCTCAGAGCTGAAGGCATGCTGCTCTCCTCCTGAGGGAAATCCTGGTGGGAGGGTAGGAGTGCTGAAAGAAGCAGCAATAACTTGCATAGATAAACTCTTGCTGTAAACCAGCCCTTCCTTGCTCTTCTGTCCACAGCGCTGGCATCGCTGTTGGCTTCTATGGAAATGGGGAGACCAGTGACGGCATCCACCGGCTGACATACTCACTGCGACATGCAAACCGCACGGTGGCTGGGGTCCAAGACCGGGTAAGTACAGGGAAGGACTGTAGCAAGGAAATGAGGTGTGTGAGACAGATGTTTCCATCTGTGTCTTCCCCTCTTTTGTTACTCTCTGAATTGAGAAGTGTTCGCCACAATTTCCATTAATGGGGAGATAATTTCTTCAGTCTCTATTGCTTCTAAAAATATCAAAGCAAATTAAACATGTTAAATGAAGTGTTCTCTCACGATTGTGTGTGGTTAAAAACAGCTTCTCATTAGCACTCCTCCGCCTGCAGAAGAGGTGCCAGGCCAAAAGCAGAGAACAGTAGCTCTGTAGTAAATGGCATTGTTAATAAACATGATGGTTTGCAGTATTGTGCTCCGGTTTGCTGCTTTTAGGGGCTTTCATTTTGTTACTTCTCTGCAGCCTTGGTCTGCCTATTGTTATCCCAACACTACAGTGAGCTTCCAGTGCACGCTGACTTGTAGCTTAAAAGGAAGCCGCTGCTTTACAATCCATCCCAAAGTCAAGCAAAGGAGCCTGATTAAAAGCAGGGAAATAAGCTTATGCTCTTTCCTGCCCAGCCCTGGTGAATCTTTCCTAGGTTTATGGTGGTACTTGTGGTGGCTTACCTCCATCTTCAGTGCCAAATGAATCCGAAGTTATGACTCCCTCATTGTAAGTTACCTGTGAAGATAAATGGTCCCAGAGTCTGGAAGAGCCTTGGTGCAGTAATCTGGAAATTGTCCATCACTTGTTGACAGGGATTATCCCTATCTTCTCTCTCTCCTCCTTCCCCCCCCCCCCCCCCCCCCCCTTCCTCGACCGGCGGACTCCCTTTTTAATTTGTTTTTTTTTTTTTTTTTTTTCCCCCCCCCCCCCCCCATGTTCTTCTGTCTGATCCACAGGTGTTGGACACTGCAGTGGCCCTGAACCAAACTATGGAGCCGAACCTGCTGATCCTTGAGGAGATGTTCATGAAACAGACTGATTACCTGCACGTCATCCAGAAACTCCAGGGCCTCTTGGATGATTTGGTCAGGCAAACAACAGAGATTCCTTTCTGGAAGAATGAGGAACTGTCATTAGAGGAACTGGCTGTTCAGATTGATCTATATGACTGGTACAGGTGGGCAACATGTTGGCCTGTACCACTGATGTGACATCCATATGATGTGTGTGTTGGGCCATGATGGATGCTAAAGCTTATGTCTTTCAGGTCAGATCAACTACTGAAGATTTTTCTAGTTAGTTGATCTATAGGTTTGTTATACACCAGCAGGGATTTTAGGTCTGTCTTTATTGGGATTGTTTTCCTGAGCAAGAGTGTGCTGAGTCTTGGTAAAAACCTATTAGAACAAATGTGACTTGACTTAATCAGCAGATCAGCGTTACTTTGAGCAGGTAAAGTCCATTAAGTTGTGTTGCTCACACTCTGGTGCTGGCATGGGGTTAGCTTTTTCACTTTGCTGCCTCGCTGTCTGGACGTTCTATAGATGAAGGCCTGCCACACGCTATAATGCATTCACGATACAGAGGCCTTGTTACGCAGCAGCCACTGGAGATATACAGAATTGACCATCACTATTTGGGAGAGAAATGAATAGTCTGCTCAGAGGTACTTCAGGAGTACCCTCTGTCCAGAAGTGCGCTTATTATTCTTCAGGCAGATATAGATCAAACTAAACTTCCTGGACTATTGTTGTATTTGCTCTTTCTATATAGTGTCCAGCTGCATAGACCAGTCACCTTTAAGTTTGAAGCATGTTACTGAACATCTTAATGCTTTGGTCACTCTTGCAAACACTTTCTCACGCCTGTTTACCAGAGCTAGCCAGCTGAGGACACTGTAGACTAGTTATGTGATCTGAGTAGTGCAATTCATCATTAGTAATTAGTAGTGAATTTTACTTGCTAGGCTTGACTGTGGTGGGGGAGAGCCAAGTTTCTCTCTCAAGACATGCTCGCCTATTCTCTAGACACCAATTTTTGTCTTCAGACTATGTTTCCATATATTGCAGGTGGCTGGGATACCTGGGCCTACTTCTATTCCATGTGCTGATCTGTTTGCTGGTGCTCTTTGGACTAATTAGAAATTCCAAGGCCATTCTCATTGGGTAAGTCCTGTCAGTGAGACAGTTCTTGAGGAAATGCAGGCAGAGGATTAACAATAGCTAGTTGAGTCCTTCAGACTGTGCCGTTGAATCCATTCATGGGCTGCTGAGTAGTATTTGTAGAGTGCAATGATGGCTGATCGTGTGCTTACCAATTAGAGCTATCCTCTGCAGAGCCTCTCTAAACTGACAGGGTTAGGACAACATCTGGGATACATTCACAGGAAGGTGTTTTTTTGTCAGAAGAACTCTGTATCTGTTTAACATCCAGCTTTAGTGTCAAAAAGACAAGGAACTTATTCCTGAGAGTGCCTCGATTCCAACAGTTAGCACCGGTAACCTCTTTCTGTCTCACTTACCCAAGGCAGGAAAGCTGCAGTGCATGGTACTGTCACCCCAATTGAAGACCCTCTCAAGATTAAAATGGCCTTTTAAAAGGAAGAATCCATTGATGCTCCGGATAGGGGTGTGGGGGTGGGGCTTAAATCTGGTGATTAATACTGTTAATGCAGTCTCCAGCCTTGCACCTTAACACGCATCCTGGTAGTATGCCTAATTGTCGTATTACCTTTCCTCTGGCCTTGGCTGTGACACTTCAGCAGACATGAAACTGTTTACTGTGAAGGCCACTGAAACTGCTGCGAAGCAAGAGGTGTGTGTCAGAGTAGAACTAGTCATGGGCATCAACTTTATTCACATGTACATTGCAGATATTTCCACCGTGCTGGGGCATCACGTTAAAATAAAACTCTATTGCCCCAGCCATCTTCTGACATGGTTTTCATCCTTAGTGTGATCCTAGCCAAATATGCATTTGTAAACATTATGGAAATTTGATACCATGATGGCCCCTTGGCATGATCGTAATTGTCCTAGCATGATAGTAATTGCACTGTATATTCAGCCTTGTTACCTGCCAGATTATTACATACTTGGTACGTTATAAGGGACAAAATTGCAAATGTATGCACAGATGGTAAACCCGCAGTTCAAATTAGAAACTCATTCTTTATTAGCCAGAGTCTCAAATTAAGGCATTCCCCAAAGGAAGTTCACAAAATAAAGAACCCATGTTTTACAGCCAAGCAAGATGGTGAAATGCCAGTTGTAGATCTTCTAGTCAAACAGTTACTGACCCAATCCCCTTCATTTACATTTAAAACACCAAATGCTCCATTGTGAACTGATAGGCTGAACATGTCAAAGTGTACAACGCCACCTTATCCATATGTCACAATACAGCAGAACCTTGTTAATATACAAACCTGATAATTTTCACAATCACTCTGCCCAGAAGTGGAGCAAGACTCAGACTGAATAGCAGAGTACTGTCCAGAGGTTGTGTATTGCTGAGCCTTCATTTCTTCTATGAAATAAGCCACACGCTTACTAATATAATGCAATGTATAATTAAAGCAAAACTTTTCAAAAAGTGGGATTTTTTTTTTGTATGCAATTCCCTTGATTTTGTTATGATTTGATGAATTGCAAAATGCAATAAACTATTTTGGCTCTTCTAGCCATTAATGAGGGTCTGATGTCAGTACAACAAACGAATATAGCCCTTCCCTGGTTTACTATTCAGATGATCCTAATGCACTAGGTATTTAATTTACATTAACAAAATATGGCAATGAATGTCAATGTAAATATCTCAATCATGAACAGTTTTTGTCCTTTTTTATGAAACAGCCATTATACTCTGACTTCTTGTACACTCAGACTATGTTAATTCCCAGAGGCCTGGAATTTGGGATAACTGATAGACTAGTTTACGATTACTAATGCCACCTTTCCTCTTCCCCAGATTATAATGGTACTGTTAATGTACATTTAGCGGCTTCTGCTCCTCCTCCAGCTATTGGAATATAATCATTCTGCTAGGATATCTCAACTAGTCCATTCTGGCCCAAAAGATGGAGTGCATGGGTTGGGAATCTGGGTTTCTCTTAAACTGGGGAGAACTGATGGGTTGTTTTTTGGAGGTGTGAAAGTATCTCTTGCTAGAGGATTTGTATCTTACAAAAGTGAAGGTTTAGGGGTTAATTAGAGCCTATACATACTTATGTAGGGAACAAATATTTGAGCTCTTCATTCCAGCAGAGAAAGGCATAACACAATCCAATGGCTGGAATTTGAAGCTAGACAAATTCAGTTTGGAAATAAGGTGTAAACTTTTAACAGAGTAATTAACCATTGGAACAATTTACCCAGGGTTCTGCTGGAGTCTTCATCGCGGGCAAATTTAAAATCAAGGTTGGATGTTTTTCTAAAAGAGATGCTCTAGTTCAAGAGCAATTACACCTCTACCTCGATAGAACGCTGTCCTCAGGAGCCAAAAAATCTTACCGCGTTATAGGTGAAACCGCGTTATATTGAACTTGCTTTGGTCCGCCAGAGTGCGCAGCCTTCCCCCCCCCCCCCCCCCGGAGCACTGCTTTACCACGTTATATCCGAATTCGTGTTATATCGGGTCGCGTTATATCGGGGTAGAGGTGTATTTTGGGAAAGTTCTAGGGCCTATGTTATACGGGAGGTCAGACTAGAGAATCACAATGATCCCTTCTGGCCAAGGAATCTGTGAATCTAGCATGTAATAGATGTTAACTCTTCTGACTGAGCTGTGGGCTGATACGCTGTGCACTGGATCTTATTTCCTTTGCTTCCTTGAGTACTTGACACCAGGATGACTAGGAATTGACTGACTGACTGTGGTAGAACCCACTAGCTGCATGGCTTTGTTTGGGGATGGAACGTCAGGACCATATCTAAGGAATGAATTTCAAAACTCCCTTGTGAGGTGACTTGCATGTTGCCATCCACAGGCACCATGCTGGAAAGCTGCCCGGCAGTGTCTGAATGCTGACAGCCCAACTTATTTCAGAAACCTTATTGGGATTTTCACTATTCAGATCAAAAAGTCCTGTTGTCTGTCTGTTTCCACTGCTCGTTGGAAACCTATGGTGCTGCAAAAGGGTCTAGGTAGGTTAGGTGAAGGACAGTACCTGGGTAGATCAGAGGAGGATTTGGAAAATCTAATAGGACAGCTGGGGAAGGGGGTGTGATCTAAAACGGAGTAACTTTCCAGGTAAATCTAGTCTCTTCCCCATCCCCTTTTTACTTCCACTAGCAAGTGTCAAGACCAGTAATGAAGGGGGGGGAAAAGAGGGGGGCTTTTTGTGGGATCCAGTCATGCTTGTTAGTGTGTAACACTGAACATGCCTCCCTTGCTTGTATCCCCTCTACTTTGGGAATTCAAACACTTTTACATCCTTGTTCTCATGAGATGCCAGATTAGCAATATTTAAAACAGCAGTCTTCTCCCCCAAAGAATAGGTCCAGCACAGATGGCAAGAATACAAACCTCTCCTTGCCAATGTGCTTCTAAAGGCCACTTCTAGTCTCAGTGTCCATTTAATCCTTGATTTGCCTTGCTGAGGCGGTCAGTGTCCTGCTAGGAACTGGATAGAGGCTTGTGGGGCGGGAGGTTTCCAATCAAATGATACAGGCCACTAAACAACCTCTTAGATTAACTACCTTTGGTTACTACAGACCTGGACTGCTTCAATCTTAGTGTAAGTAATGCATGCTGGTATGCAGGTTTCTGTATTCCAAATAGGATTTGCATACAAGACACTGACTGTCTGTTTCACATTGCAAATTACACAAATGAAAACTGGTTAGTTATTGCTTTTGAACTCTAAGAAGCCCTTGTTTAAAGCATTTGGGTGTTTGAATTGGAACCAATACATCAGCCATCTTATCTGTCTCTTGTTCCATCTGCAGGGTATGTCTTCTAGGGGTGCTTGCTCTAATTGTCAGTTGGGGATCCTTGGGTCTGGAGCTGGCTGTTGCAGTGGTAAGTGGCTCTGGTCCAACCTTCCCACACCCTACACTGCAGATTTATCAGGCACATGAATAAATGACTCCCAGTGCTCGTGTCTTCATGGGACTTCTGGTTTTCAGTAGCTGTCCTAGTAAATAACATCTGAAACAGGTTCAGAAATTATACCTCCATAATGCAGTTTGCTAGCTAGTATCCCAACTCCACTCTGCTGGAAGGCTGGGCAATAGATCTGTAGAAACTGCTTCTGGGGGGAGGTTGGTGAGATGGAAGACTTATGGGGCCTGACTTCTGGCATATCCCCAAACTTGAGAGCCCCTAATGGAGGATTCCCCGACACAGATATGGCTGAACCTTTTGTATGGTATAGTTGACTTTCCTTTTTCTTCTCTCCAGGGCTCCAGTGACTTCTGTGTTAACCCTGATGCCTACATCTCTAAAGTGGTGGAGGATTATGCAGTGCTCAGTACTGGTAAGTACTAGGATTGTGACTGGCTCAGATACTCAGCGTAGTAGCAGAAGCTGGCACTGAGGGTAGCGCTGGTGGCCTAGTATTTGAGGCTGGTATTAGAAATGTAGATAAAATGCTGCGAAAAGCAGAGACAATTTAAAGATCTGAAAAGCCAATACCCTACAGGAATCTTTCTCTCTTCTCTCTTTCCCCCCCCCCCCCCCCCCCCCCCCAGAATTTTTTCTCACAGACAGGCATATTCAGTGACCTCTCCTTTTTCATTCTGTATCTTCATTCTTTTTTAGCTGTGAGTGGAAATCCATAGATGCAGAAAATCTGAATTTGGGGTTTAAACTTCTGTTGGATGCTAGGAAGTACAGAAACAGCCAAGATTATTATTATTATTATTTTATTTTTATTTATTTTATTTTTTTTAAGGAGATTCTATTTCTTCTGGTCATATTCAGTTCAGCAGCCAAACAAGCCAAAACAACATTGCAGAGAGTAGTATGAATTTCCCTCATCTCCCAGAATACAGTGTTTAACTTTGACCACTTAAGTGCCAGTTTTGTTGACATTCCAGTGCTGATTGTTGTACCAGAATCATCCTAATTCGTGTACTTATCCTGTATTAGGAGCGATTACGTTTGTGTTAAAGGATTTACCAGAGACACCGGGTTGCAAGCTGAAATATGAAAATAGTATTCCTTGAAATAGTTTGATCATTTGGATAGTTGCACTCTAGCAAAAGTGATGTTTACATTAAGTGTTAGACTCCTTGCAAGACTGTGTGTGGGTTCTAGAGAACATAGTCCAGCTGGCAGCCTAGTTTTACAAGCTAACGTATTTATACAGCTTTCGTTGTCTTTAATTCTCATCTGCTTTTAAAATAGAAGGGTTCAGCCAGGTAAATAGAAAATGTCACCTTCGATCTTCTCAGCCCGCTCTCCAAATAAATTCTGCAGATCGTCCTGAAAACACATGATTAGTTACTGAAATCAAGGTTTTTCTGCCTTGGGGTCATTGCATAAATACCTCATAGCCATGGGAAGCAAGAGCTCATGCCTCTTTTATTACACTTAGCAGCCGCACAACATGACACCCTCATGACAAAGGGATAATGGAGCACTTACGCAAGCAGTGCTTTAATGGCTTTTGGATTTGAGTCCCAGTAGCTAAAAGTCCACATTGTTAAACTGCTGCTCAGAACTGTGATTCAGTAGTAGGTAGAGGAACCGATTGCTGTATGAGCCTCTGGAGAGCAGTGGCTGGCTATTCAGTTGGTATGTGATTCTGATTGCAACCTAAAGAAGAGGGATCTTTAGGGCTGGGTGAGATAATTATCAAAGCAGCATAGGGTCAGATTAACTATTTTACACATCTATCTTATGCTCTGAGTCCAGCTCTGTTTTATGGTCAAACAGTTCTAGGGAGCAGTTAGGGTATTGGCCCATAAAGAGAGATGTTGACAACTATGCAGCTTTGGTTTTGTGTTATGAAACATTTTAAAGAAGTTTCATAAGTATAAAGCTCCAAATCCCAGCCTTCTGGCTGTATGTTGCTCTTTTATGTGTGTGTGTTTCTGCTATTAACAGAGTACTGTGAAACTGATAAGGAATTAGAAACGTTACTCTGCTGATGGCTGGCGGTTCAGAGATTGGAAACAGGAAATGTTTGTGGAAGGAGGTAAAATTCTGTGTAAAACGGTCTGTTAGTATTCTCGCCCTCAGTCTCAATCTTGGAATGCTTTATTGATCAAACACTCCGGGGAAGGAAGGAAGGGATTCCAGTTCCTTTGTTTATAGAGGTCTTAACTACAGGAGCCCTGTAATCACAGTGAACTCATTGCCTTATTTCATTTCTTTGCACAGTGATCCAGGCCTGTGCAAAATGAGAATTATCTCTCAATTGAGAAGATGACCAAGACTGACTTTAGACACTAGGCAGCTGCTCTTCATTTTCACTAAAGGTGACAAATGGGTAGACGGGAAACAGCTATTCTGACTGTTCACTGATTCAACTGTATCAGTTACAGCATGGGTACGGTACCAGGAACCAGTTAACTAGCTCATTGATAACAGTGAAGATAACCCTGAAAAAGCAAAGGAACTCACCCTCAGGAGGCACCTTGGAGTATGTTCTTCCTTCACTTGACCTTGCCTGATTGGAGCCTGTTAATTTTCCCAAACTGAATAATTGCTTTGGAGGTTAAGACTCCTGCTGCTGATGGAAGCGGCTGCTTCTCCTCAATAGGGACAGCAGACCCTTCAGTTAAATGGGTATCTGTTGTGCTGGCACAACCAACTATAAGTTTAGCATCCCATTCTGAAGGCTCCATAAGGCTAGTAGATGGGTCTAAATGGGACACTGAAGGGAGTAAGAACTACAGGCTTTGCCATGAGGTTGTAGTTAGCAGTGTGGCCTGTCCTATATAGGGTCACTAGAAGATCACCCAAGGCTCATGGGAGGTGATTTAATTTGTTCATGAGCTCCCTCTCCCTTTTTAAGCAATGAGTTGGTCTTAATGGCTTCATTCCTGAGCATTCCATCACATTGGACTGCATGGGGGAGATGGCTAAACACAAGGAAGAGACTAAACTTGAAGTGATGCAAGTTTAGTCTCTTCCTACGAGTTACTGCAACTGCATTTCCTATACCTATTTCCAGGGTGCTAGGCAGATAGCCCTTGTCCTCATTATCAAGTGTGTGATGTGCACTTGAGCCAGAAGGATAATCCTGTGAGGGCCAGTGCTGGGATCTCTGAGGTCCACTCAAAGACCAGCAAAGGTGCATCTAAAAACAGTAACTTAAGGCGCACCATCAGCTTGGAGCAGGACTCTCTCTAGTCCATTTTATTTTTTCCTCTAGTAATTTTCTTAAATATAAGAAACAATGCAATGAGCAAGACACTAATCGTTGCCTCCAATATCCAGACAAAGGAATGCAAATATGTATGTATGTCTGCTTTTAACTTCTGACAATTTTTGGACTCATGAAATGCTTGCTGCAGGATTAGAAGTGTGGTATCAGAAATATAACCTAGAAAACATTTTTAGTAATGCCAGGTATGAAAGACCTATTCTATCCTAACTGCACTAGTGCATCAATGTGACATCAAACTTTGATGAAAGGTTTAATTCATCTCCCTAAGTTCCATGAAATAGATGCTGACCTCTCTAACAAGTGTAATACTTGGAAATCGGAAATCTTTCTTACACACAGTGTATTCAGAATAGTCAGGTTTTTTTGTTTTGTTTTTTTTTAAATGGTGGGGAGACTAGCTAACTATACAAAAGAAGCAGTGAAAACAACTGTATACAAAGAGTTAGTGCAAAGAACACCAACTAGGAAAAGATTCTCTCTTCTCGCAGGAGGCTTACTTTGTACTAATCCTTCAGCTATCGTCTTGTTCTGCATTACTCCTAACCATGCTAGGTAAATGTTTTTCCAACAGAAAGGTTAAGTTCATAATATCCCTTATTTTGTACCCTATTTGTTGGTTCAAGGATGACTCCCAGTGGGCTTTATCACCCTTACAGGTATTTGCCCTTGAAACACCGTCTCTTTGGCTGATGCCTAGATAAGGCTCCCTTCTTGGAACTTAGTCAGTGCCACATCCAAATTAAGCAGAGTTGTGGTAATGCCAGGTCACCTCCCCTTTTTTTCTTCAGTCCAAGGGCTTAGAAGGCAGCCTCCCAGCCCTGCTGACATGGCAGGCAGTCCAAGGTTTCCCATGTAGCTGTGTGGCCTAGGTTCATTTATTTGATGCAATAACTTGTGTGTAAATTACAGGAGCTTTCTAGGAGAAGGGGGCATTTTCCTGGAGGAGCTGGGCAGCAGGACTAAAACTGCTTCTGTGTTAGTATTTTCAGCGGTTCCCAAATCTAAGCAGAACTAATGGCGCTGGAAATAATCTGATTAAATGCATCACTATTGTCATCACTCTTGAGCTAAAGAGAAGACTCAGTTTATTTACTGCTGCAAAAAAATGGACCAGAATTCTTAAAACAAATCTCCTAAAAGAGGAGAGAAACGTAATCATTTTGTGTGAGGCTAGTGTGTGTCTGGCTTATCTGGTATTCATTAATTGAGAGAGAGCCAATGGAATTGAACACTGACTGGATAATCACCTCTTTTTTGCTAGTTTAAAAAAAAAGCCATGGTGCAGCCAACATGTTTATTTTCAAAGCAGGAGGCCATCTTCTAGCCTCATTCCCTTTCTCTGATATTGTTACTACCAAATGATTTATTCGGTCACATTAAATAAAAAAGTGTAATCTCTTTAGCCAAAAAGAAGACCTCTCTAGATTATCTCTTACTGGCATGCTGCATCTGGAACAGACTAGCTTATCTGAGGGACTGCATTGCTTAGGGGGTGGGTAATGGAGCTTTTCACCTCAAATCCAGTCAAGTTTGGCAGTGAGTGAAAGCTGTTAATGTCTTGCTGTTCAGTGGTCAACGTGAAGTGAATTTGGCTTTCATCAGTTACTAGTGGACAGATGTTCATGTTGCAAAAATTGCTAGCCTAGATGGCCTCTTATTGACTATCTCAGCACAGAAACCATACTGAATGAACCCTGGAGATAGTCGCTCCGGGTCAGGGTTGAGGCATGTCGATAGGAGGTGCGGTGGTTTATGCTGCCACTACTGGTGTTTGTATGGGGTTCATAGACAAAGTTGAGTCTTCAGAGCTATGAATGTGTTTTTTGTTCCTGTTTTTCCCCAAGGATACTAAATTCACCAAGTTTAGAACCCAAATTCCACTTTGTGGTTTCACTGACTTGCCCATAAAAAGCTTCAGCTAATTAGCAAGTCAAACAACAATCAGATTAACTGATGTTTAACTTAGTCTTTTCTAACCAAAAGTTTGACTTCTGCTTGCTTTTTTTTCCCCCCCACTTGAGTGAGGTTTAAACCTTCTATTCAAAAGCTGTATAAATACCATGCAAAACCTCCCTTTCCTGTCCATCCCCAGTTCTAAGGAAACTAGATAGTAAGTGGGAATGTGACAATACTACTTGGGCAGTATGGATACCCTGGGGAAAAAAGCTGCTTTCTCCCATTTTAATTATCACCACTGAAACGTCCACAGTTCCCAGTAACTAAACAGTATGGAGACAGTGCATCTTCTTACTATGATCTCTTCTGAGCACAGTATGTGAAATGCAGAGAGAAACCAGTCCGGTAAATGTGAGGAATGGCCGAAGAGTTGCAGGTTTATGGCAAGCCAGTTAGGCCAAGGTCTGACTCTGTTTAAAAAAAACTAAGTGACCTTTGTAAACCGCCCATGCTGCTTGTTCTCTATCCATCCTAGCATACAGGATTCCCTCTGGTTTTAAGATGCATACCCAGAGGCCATACTGCAATTCTCCTGGGCTTCAATGCCATCACATTATAACATTATGAACTGTAAGGCTTCTATGTATGCAGAAGTGAGAAGCAGCTTCTAGCAGATGAAACGGACTTTGTTGCTGGTAGCCTGTTTCAATTTCCTTTCTAGGGAGGATTTCAAATTGATGCTTTTATCAAATGGTTCCCTTGCCTTATTTCTGCTCTTTATCTTCCTTTTCCCACAGAAAGTGGGTCAGGAGGATTGCTGCCAGCAGCAGCAGCAGCTGCAAGTATGACCCTTCTCTTGGAGACCGCTTAAAGGCCAGTTTCAAAAACCACCTCCAGACTTTAGGGATTGGCCTGTAGTATTTCAAGCTGAAAGGATAAAACTAAACTGACATCTCCCCTGAACGGGTAGAAAGATGACTTTTGAGAACCGATGAAGTTGCTATCAATGTGCTTATGGCAGCTGACAGACTTGGAGGGCCGTATTCTGGACAGATGTCAGGGGAGAATTCCCCTTGTGTATGAAAACTCTTCATCATCGTTACCCCTTTTGGACCAGAGCAACTAGTCAAACTGGGGGTGTTCCAGTTGGGAGTAAAAATTGATGATTGAGTCTGGTATTTTCTTGGTCTATTCCTTATAAACAAACAAGACTGCATCCAAGTCCTGCTTCTCTGAATGCAGGAGAAACCAAGAACAAAAGGAGCAGGTTCTCCACTTACACACTCAAGCTTCTTTCAATCTGTGTGTGTGCGCGCGTACGTGCTTGCTCTCAGAAAAATATCCAGTGGAATCCTCTGCCCACATGGTGCTTGTTTCTGGGCAGACTTCATTTGCATGGGCGATGTGTGCCTCCTGCGTTTGGGGAGGCTGGCCCTAGTGCTTGAAGCTCCGTCCCTGCCCCTAGGCCCCCACTGCCTGCCGCGCTCATCCCTCCATACCCCTCTTCCCCGCGAGGCCCCCGCCATTTGTGCTCTCCACCCCTCTCCTGAGCCGAGTGCTCACCCCACCCAACTTGTTCAAGAACAAAAACTCAAGGGGGAACATTTGCTGCCCCCAGGTGCCCCTAATTACCACTTGCTGCTCACCAGTAGGAGGGATGCAGCAGATGGAGGGGGGCCACCATGACCCAGGCATCTGTGCTCTGAAAGTCAGAGAGTCGGCCTATTCTATGTGCTACCTATGTTCATTCAGCCTTATTTTAGGTGTGGCCCCTTCTGTCCCTTACAGCAGTCTTAAATGAAGGGAGTGTTCACACCTCAGTTTCAACCTATAACCAGGTTGAACCAGCTGAACGCCAGCATAAAGCCAGCAGGGGTGATTTAGCCACCTTCCACATCAGCCACCCATGTGCTAACCCATCTCCAGCATAAGGGGTTGCTGAGGGTGGGGGGGCTGAGAAGGGTGTGTGGCAGGAGCAGAGCACTTTAATATGTGTCCTTGGCTAGTGTGGGGTGACTTAGGGATTTTATGCAAGAGTCCTAGTTTGGAGCAGGTACTCAGACTTGCACTGGGAGCCGCAACTGGCTTCTCAGCAGACTTCCCCACTTCTTCCCTGCAGCAGAGCTGTGCTCAATGCAGTAAAGAATCTACTCCACAATCTTTGCCAGACAAATGACTGGCAGTTTAGAAATCTCTCGTAAGTTCTAATGCCTTACTACCAAAACAAGAGCTAGTAGTTAGGATGCCACAATCCAGAGATTGGGGTGGATGGGGAAGAGATTCACTTCTGAGCAGAGCACTAGTAATCACATGAATGGAAGCCAGTAAACTTTGATGCCATACCCACAGTGTCCAAAATATGACTGGGAAGCTTTTGGACGGTTTGCCGAGTGAAGCTTCTTGGGCGTGGCGGGGAGGGTCCTGTGCAATTTGGTGCTGTTCCATCTTGCAGTCACTGTGCTGTTTTTTCCAACTTGACGGTACTGTGGACTATGCATGATATTCTCGCTCAGGAAAGGTCTATTTGCTAATGTAGGCCTGGAATAAGCCATCCCTTCTGATTTAGAGTGTGTGCACAATCCACTCGTGGTATGATCCATTCAATAGCACACGCTATCCTATTATCTGCCCAGTTTTTACTAATTGCTGTTTAATGGCTCGGCTGAGCTGTAGATAAGTCGTCCCAGAGCAAAATTCAATGGGGAGAGATGGAGCAGCTGGTGGAAGCCGTCCCAAAGTAGGCTAATGAATTATAAATAACAGCTGTCAGGTTCCATTGCCAGCAGGCAGGAGCTAACAAGCTGCGTTGTACCGCTCAGTCCCAGTGTGCAGAGAGGCGCGATGAAAGGTGCATGCAATATTGATGGTAAGTGCAGCAGGAGCAGGCCTGCTCGCCTTACTTGTTGGCTCCCTCGCATGGCTTTTACTTTCTCTGTTCTTCCTTTTGAGCCCCACAGTGAGGAGTAGTTGGAAAAGTCACTTCTCTCTCAATGAGTCTTCATAGTGTGTGGGGGAAAAAATCAATCTGCAAAATGCCCCGATTATTATTTTTTGTGTGTGGGAGGGAAGAGTTGTCTGTTTTATGCATGGCTATTCTAAACTGACTTCCATTCTGAGAAGAGGCAAGAGAGGTTGGCAGAATGAATGCTGGAGAGGAACTGAGATCTGCAAACAGGTTAAAAATGAGTCTGAAGGGGTGGGAGTTGTGGAAAGATAAATGGTCATTTACAAAAATCCCCTCTGTGGCCTCATCAAGGATGGCTTAACGGAATCCTGATGTTTAACTTGCATGTGTAATTTCTCCATCCCTCAAACTGGTAAACCCTTGTAGAGGTCTAGGTGGGCATCAGGTGTACCCTAAGGAGGAGGATCAGGACTACATTTCCATGCATTTGACAGGCTGACCTGTCCATGTATAGCTGGTGGTGGCCACTGTAATGGGGTTAGCTGGCAGGGCATGACTTGGTCAGAGGCTGATTTTAGCACGGGGCAAGTTTCAGTAACGTTTGGGGTGCTATGAGGAAGTCTGGTGATATTACCTTGTTCGCAAGAACCACCCCTGTTTCCAGTACCCTGGCATGCTCCGCTGCAGAAGGAGTTTTCCTGTGGGTTAAACCTGCAGTGAACTCTATTGGCTGTGTGCAGAAAGCGCCTTTTTGAGCAAGCCAGGATAGAGGTATGAAAGAAACCGTGCATGCTAAAAGCTGGGTTTTAATGATGTGTGCACAAATACTAGCAGGGGAAGAGTATGAATCATCTCTAATTTATGCTAGAAGTCTTCCATTCTGCAGCTCCAGCCTCCATTTCTTCCTCAGGCACTTCCCAGGCTGTGCCCCCTCCACAGAGTACTGTTTAAAAACCAGCTGCTCCTTCAAGTGAGGCAGAGTAAATCCATGTTGCAAAGATGTCTCCTTCCTTCGTTCTCTCGTGTAAAAATATGTATTCAGGCAGCTGTGCTTACAGCAGATGTGTAGCATAAGCACCGGTGTGCGCACTCTCTTCCATGTTAGTGTAATTCTCTCTCCTAACATAGGATCACAGAAATCAAATCTCAGACTCCAGCCCAGTGTCCTGTCTGAGTGCCACTGAGTATGATGGCTGATTTTGATTCTGCACAGCATTGGTGGTTTTGTCCTCATGGCTCACTTTCCTGCATAGGTGGGAAAGTCTCACTCCATTTATTGGAAAAAATGCAATAGGGTCAGCTTTTAGCATGGCTTTACTTTATTGCAGAATGTAGCCAACTTCCCTTCGGTGTCTTCCATGCTCCGTAACACCACAGAGGAGGGAAGAAAGTGGGTCCACTCACACTTTGCCTCTAACACAGCGTATCACTACTAATGCTCTTAAAATTAAATCTTCCCTTGCAGCAAGCATAAGAAGGCTCAAAGTGGGGGAAAAAATAAATATAGCCTGATTTCTATTATTTGTCTTTGTCTTGATAGATACTCTACGCTATTACCTTGCCTGTAATGCTGGATATCCAAACCCCTTTCAGCAGGTGAGTATCTCAGCTCACACCCTTCTCTTGCCACAAGCCGCATTTCAGTGGGGCTGGATTTAAAATGATATATCGGCCCTAGAGCGGGTTACGAGATTGTTAGCTTTGTCTAAACATAAGGGCTTTTCCCAGCTGAGTCACCCCCTTCTTTCCTTAAAAGGAAAGGACTTTCAGATCTAACGTTGGTTCTAGCTTGTGGCCTGTAGTTGTGCCATCTCTGGCTGTGATCTCCTCAGCTCTCCAAAGGGAAGCAGGGTTGGATTTGGTCAGTACTTGACTGGGAAACCTTCCAGGGGCTGTGAGAAGTGGTATTGGTGCAATAAGAGGCTCACATTTCTTAGGTCAGGCACACAGTGTTGTTGGAGGTGCCGCTGCTCAGGTGACGTGGTCAGGACCATAGTTTTACTTTTTGCTTATGGGGCACTTTTTTTCCTTGAGTGGAATCGCTTTCTTTCCCACTAATCTAATCCTGGCTGTATTTCTATGTATATTTGAGGAGACCAGAAAGTACAGACCAGAAAGCTGATTCCATCCTGTGCTTTTTGAGCTGAAGAAGTGGGTTATGTGGAGTGTCACTACAGCTGTGAGACGCGGCTAGTTTACCCTGGATTACCAGTCACGTAGATGATATCGCCGTACTTGGCAATGGCAGTTCCTAAATTCCTCTGTTGCGCATAGCCTGGCTTGCCCCTCAAGACTGACCACGTTCGTGTTCATTTTGAATAGAAGCTGTCAGGAAGTCACAAAGCCCTGGTGGAGATGCAGGATGATGTGTTGGAGCTGCTCAGGTCAGCCGTCAGAGAGTACCCCACCTCCAAGGTAAAACATCTTCAACTTACCTTCTGAAAGCACTGGACGAGTCAAGGATGTGTCCCCTCAACATGAGACCCTAAGTAAGCTCTTGCAAAGCCCTTTTGTTCTATTAATCTCTAGCTTGTTGCTTACAGGAGTACCTTACTCGGATACAGGAGGTTCTAAACTCCACCGAGATCAATTTGCAGCACCTGACTGCACTGGTAGACTGTCGTAGTCTTCATTTGGTGAGTATGGAGAATCCGTGTCTGGAGCTGACAAATTGTCACTGTCTTGTGCGGATTCAGAGCCCCAGAGTGCTGAGCAATGTGAGGGTCAGAGTACAAAGCTGTCTGGAGCGTCAAAATACAGTAGAGCGTTTGTCTGGCTTTGCTGCTCCACTTTTACAGAGGGCAGAGAATCTGTTTTGAGATGGTGGTGTGGGGGTTTTTTTGTGTGTGTTAATGGCAGATTAGTGTAGGGAATTAGTTGGTGAACTTTTGTGCTTCTACAAATTGTAGCACTGAAGCTTCATGGACCTTAACTCTAAGCTTCATACTGTTCTCAGTCCGATGCCTTTCACATGTATAGCACTTTGTAGTGGTAGAGCAAGATTTCCATGTTGGTGAGTGAATTGCTGCTTTGCCAAGATGTACAGTTAAATTTATAGTCCGGGTCTAGCTGTGCACAAGTGTAGTGGGGCACTGGGTGGAAGAGCTGCAGAACTGGAAATTGACGTCTACTGATTTCATGAGTAATAGTGAAACTATGGAACAGGCAGACTTATCTTGATCTTCCTTTTTTTATATGTATGGCTGAGAATACAATAAAAAGAACAGGAGTACTTGTGGCACCTTAAAGACTAACACATTTATTAGTGTTAGCTACAGCCCACTTCTTCGGATGCATAGAAGTGGGCTGTAGCCCACGAAAGCTTATGCTCAAATAAATTTGTCTCTAAGGTGCCACAAGTACTCCCGTTCTTTTTGCAGATACAGGCTAACACGGTTGCTACTCTGAAACCTGAGAATACAATGTACATCTGTTCCTGAATGGAGCCCTGTGTAAAAACAAGGGGATTGGTTAGCTTTTAAAAACAAACCTTGAGTCTAAAGAAACCAAGCAAATTACATTGTGGAAAATGGCTGTTTTTAGGTGGTGAGCCAGAATCCAGGTGATGGGATTTTTGTAATATGGAAATTGCAGTGTTACTTTTTATGGTGAACCAAGAGGCTCTGCTTAATTTCTCCCTTTAGGATTATGTCCAGGCTCTGACAGGCTTCTGCTACGATGGAGTGGAAGGGCTCATTTACCTGGTTCTCTTCTCCTTTGTCACGGCTCTCATGTTCAGTTCCATTGTGTGCAGCGTCCCACACACTTGGCAGCAAAAAAGGTATGCAGTGGGATTAGATACAGTCTGCTCACACTGTTGGGTTATAGAGCTGTTTCCTAATGAAAGCTGGCAATTGGAGTTATGCCCGTCAGCACATAGAACTCCTTACCATGTGTGCTCTAAGAGCATGAGGGATAAGTTGTTATAAAACGTAGGCCCAAAGGGAGGAGGATTTGTTAGCCTTAACTTGGTCAGTTTAATTCAGAACCTTATTACTGTGTAACTCTGTATATAGGCACCGTAGAGGGTATTTGATGGTGTGCAGAGTGAGACTTTTATTAGTCTGAGTTAGAGATTAATGGTATAGCTCTAGGGTGGCAGAGGACAGCAATACTTGAACTGTACAATACCTATTGTCTTCCATTGCATTTACTGGGAGAGAGACCTGAAGTGGTGAGGATCAGGTCCTGCTCACCTTACTCCCTCAATTCCACTGTCATCAATGGGACTTAACTGCATGACTACTGTGAGCAGGATATGGCCCCAGCAGTAATGAGATGACCAAATAAAAAATACATCTATTATTTTGTGGCACTAAAGGAATCTGAGACCTGTTGCTATTTCTAATGGATATGTAGTGGTGGTAATTAAAGATGAGATGCTCAGTCAACTTGTGGAACTCTTTGCCAGAGGATGTTGAAGGCCAAGACTAGAACAGGATTCAGAAAAGAACTAGATAAATTCATGGAGGATAGGTCCATCAATGGCTATTAGCCAGGATGGGCAGGGATGGTGTCCCTAACCCCTGTTTGCTAGAAGCTGGGAATTGGCGACGGGATGGATCACTTGATGATTACCTGTTCTGTTCATTCCCTGGGGCACCTGACATTTGACTACTGTCAGAAGACAGGATACCAGGCTAGATGGACCTTTGGTCTGACCCAGTATGGCCATTCTTATGTTGTTACGAGACTAGGATTTATTGGTCCATCTGTCATAGGGCCAGTTGTCGCATTGGTTTCTGTACAACATGTTGCATTGGCGTTTTAGCTTTCATTTGTTTGAAAAGTACCCTGTGTTCAACAAACGTTCATGTTCTAAATACGATTTAGGTGATTTTAAGTGTCCGAGACTCAGTGTACAGAACTGGAGGCACTCAAATGCATTAGGAAGACTTCCTGGGGTGGTGAGGGCTGCCCTTCCTGTTTTTTGGTTTAAAGGGGAGGGGGCACTTTGAAATATATCAATGTCTTCAGAAAACAACTGGAGGTCTTGATGCTCTTTCCATGTGCAGCAGTAAACAGCAGGTCTACATATCAAGCTGGGACCTGTACTCTCTGCACCCAGTTCAGGGAGTGGCTTCTCTTACAGGTAAAATACAGTGTCTGCCCCGTTTAGTAAAACTTTACTGTCCCCTTGTGGTACTGACACTAAAGGCAACTGACAAGACGTGTGATAACTTGTCTTCTAATCATAGACGTTGGAGACGTCGTCCTGTTTGGTCCAGCTCCCTGCCAGTGTAGAATGTTTCCTATCGGAAATCGACTTGTCCAGTGTAGTATCCAGTATCCCTATACTGAGAAAATCCATGAAGGAGGATGGGAGGGGCCGGAATTAGGTTAATTAGTTACGCAACAGTGATGCAATATTGCGATAGCCCAAAAATTTCCATACCACCCGATTCAAGTGATGGGCAATGATACCTGTATCTGCTCTTCCAAACTGAAGCGGAGGTGTAGGCTGTGCAGGAGTCCACGCTGACTTGCAATCTCTTTGGGTTTGCCAGTGTTAACATAATGTGTACAGCGTTCAGCTGGTGGGAAATGTGGTGCCTGGATTTGAGACTGCCTAGTGTTTCCTTTCACACTTTTTTTTTTTTTTTCTAAAAACAATCCTAGGTTGTTGATTATAATCAACAAAATCTCAAGTTGTCTCTAGCAGTGTAGTTTGATTTCTGTAAATATTTAGAACAGCATTCCAAGGATTAAGATATACATTACAGGCATATGGGGGTTTTGGTGTCAGTCTCTTCAGATTTATAAACCAGCTCTGTTGCTGTCACCTGCTTAGTCCAGAATTACATGCCTCGGTTTGAGGAGTAACCTAGTGTTCACCTATGCCTCTGATAAACATACACTGTTGTGAAATCGACTCCAGTGGCCTAACGATAATGAGCTATACTGTGTGGCTAAGAATATGAGATTCATGCATCTGTAAAATGAGGAAAATGGTACTGATCTCTCTTGTAAAGCGCTTTGAAATCTGATGAAAAGTGCTGTGTAAGAAATAGGTATTATCATTTCATGACAACCTCACAGGAGGCGCATGCTGTCTGCTCCTGATAAGTTGCTCACTGGTTTAGTTCATTTGGCTGGGGGTGGGACTACATGTCAGGGAGGGAAGAAGAATCAAGTTAGTTAAGGAATACTGCACCAGGGGAAAAAAAGATATATGTTGGGTTCAGACAGCTTAGAGGAGACGGAAGCAGATGTGGTTTCTCTGGAATCCTAGATCAGCAGGTAGAGAATAGTTCTGAAGTAGGATATCATGCAAGATTTACTAGTCTGTTTCTTCCTTTGGTATTCTGTTTGACTACCAGTTGGCCTTCAGCTGAAGGTTTGGTGTGTAGCAGTGCTCGGAGAAGTGATTGCTTCTCATTGATTGCATATTAAATGTGTCCTGTTAACAAACTTTTCTCCCAACTGCAAACTCGATCTGGGTTCTGAGTTGGTGATGTGTTTTTTTTTTTTTTTTTTTTTTTTGTGTTTGTGTGTTTGTTCATGTACATCATTGCTAGTAGTGAAGGTTCTGCAGGGTAAACTCTTCCAATCTCTGTTTTCATTGGGTTTACACAGATGGAACAGATTGTTCCAGTTACTAGGCAATTTTGTTATCCAGGAAGAAATAGGATTCAGATGCCGCTCTCATAGCTGGGGGGCTCTGCAGAGTAAAAATAGCAAAAATACATCTGTGGATTTTAACAAATATATAACTGTTGCACACAAAGGGGAGATCTGTTGAATAAGGTGGTGCCATTGTTACATAGAGCTTGATGTACAGTTCTCCTTTGAAAAAAGTGACTAAGAACTAACTCAGTTCATAAAGTTAATGTTTCTCATAAAATCAATCCTTCCATTCCTACGAAGTGTAGGATGACTTACCTTCTTATAACCCCAAAGGTATAGGTATAAACATTGACCCCAAGAGAACAATAGTCCAAACAAATACATCAAAATCAGATGTTTAAAGTAGCAAGGGCTCTAGGCAAAAATGCCTTAATCCCACAGTAGCTAAGCCCTACTGCACTGGCTTCCAAAAGTTTTTTGTTATACGCACTGAAGTAGAAAGGGACCTTTTTTTTATAGCCACTCTGAATGGAGTTCTCATTGTCTTCAGTGGGAGTTCATGGTATAGAACTACTGCAGAATCAACCTTCTTATCTTACGGTATGTCACATGGAAGACCTCTGGAAATCAGTTCAAGAAATAGACATACACGGCAAAGTGCAACTTCAGTATGTGTATGAGGGAGACATGGTATAAGGTTAATACTGCAACCAGTGCCCCATTTAAACAAGCGCCAAGTGTTCTTGGGTGTGTCCATACTCCAGTTCATATGGTTGGGGGATCTGTGGAGTTGCGTTCTCTGCCAAGCCCTGTGGGAAGGACTTTGGGACAATATGGAAAACGTTGCAGTCTGAGAAAGTCCAGATGGTATTTGTGGGAGGCCTGAGTCACTCTAGTGGTTGGGGAGGAGATGCTTGCTGGGGTCTGTATCTATGCTACCATATTGAGGCACATGCTGACTGGCTGTTAAGGGGGATGTATGGAGGAGGATTAGAAGGTTACTGGGATTACCATGTGCTCTGGTTTCTTGCAGGCCCCACTAACATAACAATTCTAGGCTATTAGGATAAACTTTCTTTCCTACAGGAGCTCGGATGATGATGGGGAGGAGGAATCTACTGCTCAAGGGAACAGACAAACCCACGATAATCTGTACAGGGTGCACATGCCCAGCCTCTATAGCTGTGGGAGTAGCTATGGCAGTGAGACCAGCATTCCAGCGGCCGCGCACACAGTCAGCAATGCTCCTGTCACGGAGTACATGTGAGTAGCCAGGAGCGAGGAGAGGAGCCATGTTGTAGCTATCGCCATCCAAAATGCTTTGCTGTACTTTAGTTGCGGGTGTCCATTGCACAGCATAGCTAAAGAACACTTTCTGCAGCAGCTGCCCTGGGAAATGAACAAGCTCACTAACAGCAGTGTGATAAGCCTGAGAGGAAGAGTGATAAAAGGTTCTGTTTATATCACTTGATCTTAGTGATCTTTTTACTTGCAGCATTGGCAAGTGTTTCTGTCCTCTAATAGAAATAACTACACGAGGTAGATGACTAGAAAGTACTGAGTTGCCTTGTGTTAGAGGATTTACAGTGTTACCTATGGAAGGGATGGAGTTAAGTGTCACCAGTTTCTATTATGAGTCTTGTTCCTTAAGGACTGTTCAGAGGTAACTGCTTTGCAAGAGAAGTGTTAAGCCTCCCAAGTGGTGGAAATCCACATGACAGCAGCTTTAGACTGTCCACCCCAAGGCAGTTGAGGTCAACCGTCTTTGCTTTCTAGATCCATCTAGTTCAGGCAGGGCAGTCTGAGTTTAGGTATCCCTTCTACAGAGCTCCTGCCCTGGGAGTGTCTGGCTGGCTGGCTGGCTGCAAGGACTGTCTGTGTTGGATTGGTTCATCTGTCTCGTTCTCCCACATTTATTGTGACTGTTAACTTTTGGGCAGGGAGGCTGGCTTCGTTTAGCTCTACATTTAAAAAAAAAAAAATCAGATTACACTCTCATATTCCATTTATGAAGTACCCATCTCAGAGTATCTGAGATGGACAGGCACCCATGTTAGTGTCCCATTGATCAAGGTAGAAGTGACCCATTTGGCATGTAGGGAAAGCATTCCAGGGAATTGAATGATGACAGTTCCAGAGAGGGTCTGTGGGAGGTAGTACTGCCCTGCATTGAGGGTTATCCTGTGCCAGTTCGAGTGTCTCTGCTGGAGAATGTGCCATGTGTCCTCCTATCACCATGTATATTTCCCTTTCATAGGAGCCAGAATGCAAACTTCCAGAACCCCCGCTGTGAGAACACGCCTCTGATTGGCCGGGAGTCTCCACCTCCCTCAGTAAGTGTCTTTATTGCTTCTCTGCTTCAACATCCGAGGCCAAGTTCTGCTTTGGGGATATGCACATGCCACTCCTATGTACTTCAGGGGGAGCTGATTATGCGGCTCAAGGCAGAAGATCTGGTCCATAAATGGTGAAAAACTTAACAGATGAGGCATGTCTAAGTTGCCATTGAAAATAAAAGCCCAGATGCTACTTGGGGCATGGTATGTATGAAAAAGATCAAATTAAATATAAAAATCTAATAACGCTCTTGGCCCGTCCTGCCACCACTGAAGCTTGTGAGTAACTTTGAGTGACTTCTGTGAGATGGGTGTCTCTCACGCACAGTTACTAACTGCTTGTGGGGTTGGTCCTTTAAGTTTGCAAAATAAACTGCTGAACCAGTAAACCCAAAGGTAATGCTGAATCTCTCCTTAACTTACACTGTGAAAACAAAAGGATGAAGTTTTTTTTCCTTTTTGAAGGGTTTTATTTTCATTTCACAACTTTTGAATTCTTATTTTTGTATCTAATTTCCTAAGGAGAAAAAAATCTTTCATGGAAGGTTCTTTGGTAATCAGGAGCTTGAAGTGGCCTCGGAGCCATTTTACTCGATAGACTAAAATATGGATTTTTATTTATGCATTTAAAAAAATAAAATTAGGTGAGTATTCACTTCTCTCTCCAGATGCTGTAATCTCATTACTGCAATACCACCTTTTTGCCATGGGCCATCAGAATGCTAACTAACCAACCTGCTGATAGTTCCTGAGGATGCAGCATAGCATACTTAATAACAGGCCATCCATTATAATTAATGAAAACCCACACCATAGGGGCTAAGCCTAGTTCACTGAGTGGGGCCTTCATACAACAAAAGACTCTTCTAAATCTAGAAGAGGCAAAAGTGGCAAACAGGAAGGCCAGCACTTATTTTTATACTTCTCATAAACTGGCCAAACTTCTTGAAGCTTGCTTAGAATGGAAAAAACACTTGTTCCAGGTCCCTGACATTCAGCACTTGAGCTTAGAAAGCGTTATCTGCTCTTGGCAATGGAGCTGGCTCCAGAGAAAGGTCAGCCGCAGCTTTCAGTGCGGTGTCATAAACTGCTGCTGTATTGCTGGAATTCTCTGTTACAGCAAATGCACTGTCCCTTTAACACTGCACAGACCTGTTCATCCTATTCCTCTGAGGCAAGGTCTTGCCACACAGCATTTCCTACCCCATAGCTCTTCTGCCTCAGAAAAAGGAGGCTTCTTTCTGCAGGAACTCTAACCATGAGGAGAGGATTCCCTGGTTCTTCAGTAGCTGGTTGCATTAATGGCCCTGAATGTGGAGCTAAATCTTGGTGCTTCCAGCTGTTTCTGAGGAGAGATGCTGGTAAGGGTTTTTTCAAAGGAATTTCACTTGGGGCAGCCAGAGAGAAGGGCTATGCGGGGGGACATTATGTCTACGTGTGGGAGGTGGGATGGAGAATGTATCAGCTTCCCTGCCTGGACCACAAGGAAGAACCCAAGCAGAGGAGGCAATGGGGTTTCTGAAGGAGAATGTACATCCTAGATAGTGGAAGGGACTGTCTGAGGGTGTTCACACACCACATGGGTAGGAGAAAGGGAATGGATCCCTTTGCGCTTGCCACCTAGGTAGGCAGTGGGGTAGAGAAGATCCTCCAGAGTCTATGTAGGCAGATCTCTGTATTAAGCAATTGAGGCTATTTCAGGAGCGGAAGAAAAGGCTGAACCCATTTAGTCAGCAAACGATTCCTGCTGTTTGGGGTGGCACAGAAAAAATATGCGTGTTCATGCTCCCTGTTTGGGGGGGGGGGGTCAGAGATCTGCAAAAAGGAGGCACCCAAGCAGAGTAAAGAGACAGTGCATGGCCAGGACTGAAGTATCCTGCTCCACTTTGATTGTGGGACCAGATTATGAAAACCAAGACACACTAATCCTAGAAGAGCTAATCACCTACTGCATTGTTTGTCTATTCTTTTTCCCCCCAGTCATTCCTTTCATCGTTCTCCTCCTTCTTGACCCAGGGCTATTCCTGTAGGGTGGTAGAGCCCTCCCTATCGCTGGCACACACCACAGCGTGTCACTTGCTTGCACTGTGTTTTTCATGCACGTTGAGGCTGCACTCTCTCTTTTTCTCTCTCTCTCCTGCATCATCACAGTTGTATTTGGCTGCCATGGACAGTAGCAGCCATATGAGCTGGCAGTTTAAGCCCTCGGACAGTGCACGGACGTACTGGTAACCGCGCCCTCAAATGGAACAGGTACTGAAATAAGGTCCTTCTCGCGCAACCCCTCCTCCACTCCCACCCGCCCCTCCATCCCTGCACTACTTACCCCAGGCCAGTGCCTTATTTCTTCACATTCCTTCTCCCTGAACCTCCCCGCATTCCCTCCTGCCAAGGGTTGAAGCTAACCAGGGTTGCCCTGGTGCTGACTAAAGGAGCAATATCAACATTTCACCATGGCAAGGCTTCTTGTATGCATTCTGACAGCCAGGCATCCACACCTCAGAGTGGAGCCAAAGTCACTGCTGCTTTAATCCACAGATTCCAAGTTGAAGAACAGTATCTACACCTGGCACCAGAGAGTGCGCCAAACCAAAAGTGTTCCACACTCTAAGCACAAGGTAGAATTACCCCCATCCTGGGTATCCACTTGGTAACGATAATGTGGATCAACATAGCTGTCTTTTAATAAGGACTGGCTGTCTGTTACCACCTCTGGCTTCCCTTGAACCCTTATCACTACTCCTTTGCTCACTGATACGATGGCATGTGCTCGAAATCAGAGATTTTTCTGCCACTTTCATTATGTTCTGCCATAGAATCTTAAAACCAAACAATTGCTCCTGCACATTGCTTGTTAGAACCACCAGCTGTACTGCGAGCTCACATATATAGCTTTCCATTTTATCCTTGCATTCAGGGTTACAAGTAAGCGACTTTCCCCTGATGTCCAGGCACAAGCACTAAAATTCTTGATTCTGCCTAGTTCTGTTTCAAACTTCCGTATGCCAAAAACATTCCCTCAATTTCCTGCATACGCTGTGGATGGCGTGTCAGTGAGTCGTTTCCTTGCACTGCTTCATTGTCAGAGTAATTAATATGCTGTTACAACCACTCTCCAGAATAGCCTGTATTTCTTCCCTCCCCATGGTGGTCGGCAACCAGAACTAGTTGCAGTAGGAATGAGTAAGTGGTTGGTACCAGGTCTTGTAGTTGTAGCTCATGAACTGTGTGACTTGGTCGAGTTGAGGAGTATGGTGTGTAATCTGAATTCCTGAGCAACACACTGTAACTGGATAAAGTACATTGCAATCAGTCCAAAGAAAACTCTAATCACCATTGAAACAAAGTGGAAACGTTGGCACCATTTGGAATGCAGGATTCTTTCCAATTGGGTTGGTATGGTCCACAGTTTGCATCCTGTCCTCAGACATACTTGTACATAAAGCTGCTGCTCCTCTTCCACATCCGCCATTCCTGCTGGGGCTTCTCTGCTGTCACCTCACACTAGATACCCATTCTCTCATGTCACTGCTTGGTCTGCCGCCTTGCCATTTGTCTGCTCTGCTTTGTGATGTGCTTGGGGATTTCTAAGATGCTGGCTGAATTATGGGGGGGAAATACAGTTTTGCCTTGGTGCACTCTGTGACAGTGTATGAATGGAAATCTACGTGAACAATTAATGCATGATGCTAGTGCTCTCCAGAATGTCTCCGCTTTCTCCACTCTTATAGCACTCTTGCAGAGACCTTCCTTGGGCATCCGCGCTTGGTGCTTTCCTGCTTCCTTATTCCTGCAGGTATTATAGTGGCGCTCTTAGCAACATTGTGTTTAAGGGCCTATCAACACTATTTATTGTAAACTTTGTTTTACAGGGATTTGACTCGAGACTTAAAATATTCTCTGGACTGAAACTTGACAAAGTCTCAGCCTAGAATCTTTTCTGTGTACCAAGGTCAGACCAAGAATCATATGTGGCTTTGCAAAGATAAAAGGTTCTTGCACTCTCCCAAAGATCTCGCAAATTGCACTCATCTTAGAAGCAGGGTTTAACTATAGTTCTCTTTTAAAAACTAGAACTCTGCGATTTCAGGATCCACTGGCTGGCCCTGTTTCCCTGCCCTGAAAAAAGGCAGGTTTTTGTTTGTTTTCATTGCACCCGGAGTTGTCTAAGATACTTGGGTCAGACTTTAAAAATTAAATAAAATTCAAGCCTTGAAGCTTCAGTTTGCAGCTAATTAAACTAGGGTAAGCCTTGGGGTTTTAGCATTTTTGAAAGGGAGCCACCGTACATAAGTACTGTATTCCTCCCCTGCCCCCAGGGGTTATATTGGATGGGAGTGGTGCATATACATAGTACAGTCTTGCAGTATAGTTTGTGATGCTGTGAAGTACCACAAGATCTGCAAAGACCACAAGATTTACCTGGCTTACATTCAAATACGGCCTCTTAAAGTCATAACTCTGTGCACGTCCGTTTTTTGCAGCCAAGAATTTTTGTGCCTGCGAAGTGTATTTGTTAGGCACCTACTTAGCCAATGTGTGCTCACAGAACTCGTCTGAATTTTTTTTTCCCCATAATGGGGGGGGGGTCTAATTCATTGGGGGGGTGAGGAGAGTACACTTTTTTGCAGAAATGCTAAAACACAAATGTACACGGTACCATAGTAGCTCTCACTGACGGTTGGTAAGTGATCAGTGATGTATGTCAAAGCACAAGACATCAGGACAATCAAAATATCCATCTACTGGGTGGTTCATGATGGCCCGATAGGGTAGCTAATAAAATGATGAAAATACATGTTAAAACTTGTATTGCTTACGTGGTTTTTAAAAGAATATATATAGGTGTATATAGGCACCTGGAGAGTCCTAGCCAGAATGCTGGAAGGATCCATAATACATGATTTTATAACCTTCTATGAAAGCTGTTTTTTGTGTTGGTGTTGGTGTTGTGAGTGGGTGGGGGGGGGGGGGGGAGATGTGGTTTTTTTTAAGGAAATTAAATACAACAGTCTACTTTGAAATAACTTCAAGGTTGTCACAGACAGGCAATATCCAGCCAACACTGACTTGAGGATGGTACTTTGTCTTTAACTTAACTGTGAACTGTCTTTTTGTTTTTGTTTTCCCAAATGTCTGTCCACGCTATAACTCTTAATAGTGGCTTTCTACTCAGTTAGATGTTTAGTCACTTGAATGGTTACAGGTAACACAGTTCAGGTTGTGTCCCTCTGGCAGTTTTCCTGACATCACCGACAGGACACCTGCATCTGCGAGCCCACCTTGATGTTAACATCTCTTTGAGCTCTTCTCCCATGCTCCCTCGGAAGTGCAATGCAGGAGTAGTATTTCAGAGTGGTATCTGTGGCACGTGGGGTAACGCACTCTCAGGACCAGCCAGTTCTGCTAGGGGTTCCGTACGCACTCCCAAAACAGTGAGGTGAGCTGGTTACGAGAAGACATCATGTGTCTGTCTGACTCCAGAGGAGCAAAACACTGTTAGCTGCCTTACTACCAAGTTCTAACTATGTAGTGTGTGGATGCACAACCCTATGTAGAGCTAACCTTGCCAGTAACTGGTTACAAAGTTGGTTAAAAATTGTAATGTGGACACAACGTAAGGCACAATACGCATGAATTGAGAACATCAGCCTTAACTCTGACTTCCCTGGCTTTTGTCAGCTTGTATGACATCTTATGGTGGTTTTAAGGAAGGCTTGAATTTAAAACAATACCTTCTGTTTCACTTTCTATCCAATTTTGCCTTTAGTTTGAATTATTGTTCTATTCCTTGGTGCTATTCAGACTTCTGTATCATGGATAAATTGGAGCAGGTCCAATATCTTTTGGCCTCTGCATGCCACTGGGTGTATCTGGTACATCCTTTAATGCACCCCACTAGATTGCTGTTCTTTTGATTCAACGATTCTTCTATAGTTGGCGGCTGCAGGTCTACGTGTATGATCTCTCTAGGAAGGGATGTGAAAAATATGTTCCTAGATTCTTTATCTAAACACTGCCTTTAAGAACCTTGGAGAATTGAATTCGTGCAGTCATCCACTTCTCTTCTCCCGCCCTGCTTCTCACCCACCTGCACAACACAGATGGAGTGCTACTGTCTGAAAAATTCTTCTTTTTAAGACTCCTGCTTCTAGTGACGCCAGTGGGGAAATCCAGCTCTGCCTGCTGTCCCTGAAATACTCTACTTTTGTATGGATTCCTCGGAGGAGAACTTCTAAACTACTTTGAGCTTACTGCATTTAACTCTTCTGTGTGTTTCTATCAGAGTCCCAAACTGTTTATTTTTGGGGGCAGTGGGGCAACTATAGTTACACACCTGTGTAGAACATCATCCATAGTACTGCTAGACTCCTTTTCAGTCCTTTTCTCAATGGTGAGAGCACAGATAAGATGACCTGAGAGAGAGAGAGACATACACACTCACTCACTCACTCTCACACTCTCTTCTACGTTTAGATGCTAGTGCTGGGCTGGGTCATTGTTACCACAAAACACCCATGTCCTCTCTCAGGCTGAACATTTCCGATGCAGGAAGGCACTTAAAAATGAGCAGTCAGTGGGTATACAAACAAAGCATCAACATCTCTACAAGCTAATACAACTGGGAATCCCTGTGCTCTACTCTGATGTGGTGAGCTCTTCTATGATACAGATTTATTCCTAGACACTGATGGAATAATGGCGAAATGCTGTTACTGTACATAGTGCTCTGGTCTCTGCTGTGCAGGTACAGAACACTTCACAATGGTCTCGTCAAATGAGAAAGATTCCTCACAATGGAGTTTAATTTTTACACTTAGTTATATAACTACACATCTGTTTTTTGCCAAGTAAACTTGCTACTTTAAGTGACACAGCTTAACGGTTGAACATTCAGTTTGTGATCAGCATTATCAGGAAGTAAAGACAAAGTTCATAGCAGCTCTTTGTAAAGGAGGGTGCAGGAGGGGAGCAGGAATTAACCCTGCTGACATCTGGGTCGTCTTTGTCCAGCTGTAAAGCATATTAACCCCATGATGACACAAGGTGGAATTCCAAGTGGAAACAGTAACAATGTTTATGGTGGGAGCTTCATGCTGGCATGAAGGTACAGTGTCTCTGTCCTTACTGCTGTGTACAAGTCCTGGTGTTGAGGGTTTCATTGCTGTGTTCTAGCAAAACTGAAGATGGTTTGGATGAGTTCATATCATTCAGCTATCAGATTCCCTTGGAGCTGTCTTCTAAAAACAATCTAGCCACCATGAATTTCCACCTTCACTCCAGAATCCGCCTTTATTGCTGCCAGGCTGTAGGAAAACTGTGTCCAAAGCCAGGTTTTGATACTAACCATCCAGTTATTGTTGGTGGATATCAGTCTAGTTCCAGCCTTGTGGTTATCCTTTGTGGACAGATGACTGCCCTGTGCATAACCTCATTGTCCTCTTCTAAGCTATCCTTGTCATGATGCATATGGTCTATTGACATCTTCTTTGTTCTCCTGAGAACATGAAACACATCTCCTTCCCACCTTTTTACCCCCAACCTCCCCATCTTCTACAGGGCTGAAGTGGCAATCTGACTGCTGAGCCACTTTGAAATCCTAACAGGTGGGTTTTTATACATGCATTGCACCCACATTCTTCTCTTGCGTTCAGAATACTTGGATTAAATTATGTCTATTGCTTCTTGATGCTGGTATTTCCGTCTTGCTAGGGAGCTTGACTAAATCAGCTAGTCCTTAGATGAAGGCCTCAGCCAGCCTCTTTCTGTAGCAGGAGTAAAAACGTTAGTCACTCAGACTTGACTGCGTAATGGCCTATGAAAGATTGCTTGTCAGAGCCTCAGAGGACCATGCTCAAGGCTCGTTGGTAAGCTGTAAACACCAACACAAGTGAGCTGGGAGGTGCTAATAGTCTGATTCAGAGTTCACATCAATCATTCTGACTTACTGTGTTTGTTTTTTGTCTTCCTCCAGTACACCTCCAGCATGAGAGCCAAATACCTCGCTACCAACCAACCTCGCCCAGACTCTGGCAGTGTGCATTAAAAACAACGCAGACACAGTAAAACTAAACAAACGTGCCAACTGCTGCTACTCTGTGCTGTCCGTGTAGAACAATCCTGCTTTCCTGTCCCAAACCCAGTGCAACTCCTGCTTCTCCAATACAGACCCACCCCTCCAACCTGGTACCTGTACATTGGCAATCTGAATGGAAGCCCCTTTCAAATTAAACCTATACCTAGTTGTACCTGGAGAGAGCGAGCAAGCACCTGCGCGAGATCACCAGTTTGTCTGGGATTCACCTACTTGGGACCAGCTTTGTCAACAGTCTATCAGGAAACATTTGCAAATATTTTTACTTCGGTCTCCCCTACCCTCTCCCATTCCACAGAAGAACTGGATGGAAAAATGTTGCAGATCTTCAGTTCTGTGTGGTGATCCAGCGGAGCTGCTCAGTCTGTAGGGCACTGAAGAAGCAGAGGCTCTGAGCCCATGGCTATACTGTACAGATCAGGAAAGCCATGCCAATGTACACTCTTAAAATTCCGTGCAGCTAGTCTTCTTGCCCGATACTTTGTGCGGAGGCCCTCATCCTGTCACTGAATACCTACTTTTAGCTGGGAGTCTGACCTGGGCTCCACTCTCTCCTCCGGTGACTTTAAATAAGCTTTTTCTTTCCTCTTTATAACCAGCTTTTGAATTCTTGAGGAGTAGGCGGTTTTCAGCACCAGCCAGCTGTCTCAGATGCACCCCAGCCTGCCCATTGCGGTGAGCCTGACCTTTCTGCTCCATCAGGGAAGCCCCTGTACTCACAGATGGCATTCTGGGCGCTGCTTTTGTGAGACTGGGTGCACACAGAACACACAGGAGCCAGCAATTCACTTGGTGCCAAATTTTTCCAGGAAAAGACTTGTAAGACTTAAGGTTTTTTGCACTAAATCGTTTCAAATCTCTAGGGCAATAGCCTGGCACTAGGTCTCATGGGACAGTCAACTTGCAAGAGCAAGAGAGATTATAAGGTCCAGTGAACATATAGCAAATGCAAGAAGTTACTTGTGACAGATTGCTGGACTCTTCCATTAATGTTTGGAGTAGAAAAGTCAAGTCTCAAGGCATTGGCTTTAGAGGAGGATCCCAGGGCCTCAGCCCAAAGCTCGTCAAAGAGCAGCAAGGTTGCAGCCTCCTTGGTTCTGCGCTCCAGAAAACAAAAGTCTTAAAACATGAATGTTTGCGGGGGTTGGTTTGTTAGTTTTTCTTTTTTCTGGTCATAACTGCTAACCACTAACTGCCATACACAAGGCACGTGTGAATAAACTCCTAGCACACTGTGCATGGGCCACGGTGCAATGGAGTGTGCCTGCAGCGGGCAGCATCCTACACCAGTTCTGTCCTTTCTGTTGAAGAATGGTGCTCTACAGGACATAAACCACTTTTTACTAGAAAAGACTCAACGCGCAGCCGTGCGATACATGGATATGAACTTTGTACTCAAGGCGGTAAAAGAATCGTCCTTTTGAATTTTCCTTTCTGTGCAAGCCGTCTTAACCTAGTTGCTTAGGGAGACTTAAGCAAGAAACAGAAGTAAGTACAAAATCTCATAAATTGGAGGTGGGCCACAGGACAAACGGGGTTCAAATCTAGCACCACAATATCTGGATTGTATCAAAGGAGAACTCCTTTCTCATCTTTTAGTTTGCTCTGTATAGTGAATGTCCATAATGTGGACCAGTAAGCCTAGCAATCTGCCTTTGCTCTGGACGATGATATCAGACTTCTCCAGATCTTGTCCTTTTCCCTTTACTAGGGGTGAGTTATCGCCACTCTGGGAACATTTTGCATATTCCACAGATGATTAACTAGGATGCCAATACTTCCTCTAGGGGAAGTTACATACTCCAAGAAAAGGGATATTTTGAGACCTCTCAAGGAGATATAGAAGCCACTAATGGACTAGCCTCCAACTTTTGGAGGAAGGGGGAAGAAAGAAGGAAGGAAAATAGCACACTGACCAGTTTTTCCGGGAGAGGAGGTCTCAGGGTAAACGCTAGTTATGTTCCATCACAGATCCCTTAAAGCCTGGTGTGAGAGCTGCATGTGCGTGGTGGGTGGTATGCAAGCGTGTGGCGCTGCTGGCTAACAAGCCTCTGGACAGTGGGATGCTCATAACAGCTGGTATGATCAAGTGGGGAAAACTGAAACCACACTTCGTCATTTTAGAGAGAAACAAATCCCTGTTTTCCCCTAGTCGATTGGACTATTTCCCATGTTGTCTGTCAGCTAGAGGCTGCCCAGACTCAAATACTTCAGGCTTTTAGATTTAGAAGAGCCGCCCCAAAATCTGCTCCATGCCTCTCAGTAGCATGGCCTTAGTCCTGTAAGGTAAGTGTTGGAAGAGCATAAAGCAGGAAATAAACTTCAGTCAAACAGGTGCATCTGTCAGCAGCTTTTGCAGTACAAATAACACATGGGTTTTCCCACTGGGCCTTAGGAGAAGTCGGGTGCAGCATGCCAGAGCCAGCAGTTTCAACGCTGGGAATAACAAAGAGCCAATACCTTTCAGTGCAGTATCCAGGCTGGAAACTGCCTTAGCTTGCTTCCTTCCCAGGCTTAGCTTAATCGGTTGTACTGTCCAGAACAAATTGTAACAGGGCTCAAAGGCTATAGCCAGTTGCTGATTGGAGATCTGTGCTCTGTGACTTTAAAGTGTACCAAGGAAGAATTCTGTGGGACACTGTGCACTCCCAAATGGCCGAGAACAAGACTGCAGTGTGCTCTGTGTACTGCATGGTTCCACCCAGGACTTCCTTTACTTGACATGGATTTTGCACTTTTGTAAAGAGTCACGGAGCCCTGCTGTCCCACTGCATGTGATGCAGGGACCTCTCTATTTTAACACGTTTCTATTTATTTTTTTATATGGATCATTGGGCAACAGTGTGGCACTTCTAGGGGTTGGTCCAAATGGATCTGCTGCAGAGCCAGTAGCATGTGCTCATTAGCACGGGTGTGAAGTGATCGCTGTAGTCTTAAGTGACCAGTCTGGTGTAGTCTGTGTGCAAACCCTGAACGCATGTGGGCACAGCATGGCCAAGGAGTAGACATCTCAAACTTCAAGATCTCCCAGAATCTCTCCCCTCCCCCACTCCTCCATAGGTGAACAGCAGGAGCTTACTGACAAAGAGTAATCTGTTGTAAGTGGACCTACTGGTTATGGGAGTCTTAGATACAGTGAGTAAAACTGGAGTGTCTTTTTTTTTTTTTCCTTCCTCTTCTGTAATTTGTATTGCATTTTAATGTGTGACATGTCCATGCCAGATCACTCCGAATGTTTCCCAGATGACTTCTCAACAGCACACAATCATCTCAGAATCAAGCCATGTTATTGCTTATTAATACATGGCTCCAAAATTCAGGGGAACTGTGAGACTCTGATCTCCGGGCACCTGGCTGACCGCAAAACAGGAGGCAGCTCTTCTGTGGTTAGAAAGGTGACAGCAGCAAAGACATTGTTTGTTTGCACTTAAAAAAAAAACAAAACAAAAAACAGTCATTGGCTTGTCTGGTTTGTTTGCTTTCTTTCCGCTCCATCGTCACGTACAAATGATGTTTTGATTTTGGAACTGAGACCTTTCAAGCACACCAACATCTCCACAATGTGAAATGTAAATAGCATGTTGGACTCTTGTGTCCAGTGTTCAGAACTGCATTGTAATTGTAAAGGAAATCGAATCAAGACTTGGCTGTGAATTTCTTGTGCTGTCTTGGGAATATAACTGTAGTGTTTGTATCCTGTATGTAATATTAACTGAATTCATTTTACTTGCTGATAAAAGGGTTCAAATGGAGATCGCAGCATCCATCATGTGACCAAACCTGACCAGGGGGAGGGGATTTGATTGCCCCCCATCCTCTTTGAGTTCTCCCCATTATTAATTATTAGTTATTAATTTGTATAGCCAGCTCTGTGGGCACAGGGGGATGTCCATTTGAGTGCTTTGAACTGGCCGATTTGCATGAGGGGAGTTTTTGGAATTGCCCCAGAGGAGGAGTCTCTCACACACACACGTTGCCCTTAGAACGTGTAATGTTCATGTGCACAGTCCAGGCTTTCCCAGAAAGAACAGCTTCCATGGGCTGGCCTTGTGCTCTGCTCGTTATTCTTGGCACCGTAATGTGGGTAGCAGATGGACACCATTCTGCTGAGCAAGTGCCTACGTGGTACAAATGTTTATATAGATAAAACCCATCTTTGACTCCTAGATCCAGTTTCTTTCTCTCCCCGGGGGCAGTCAAGGCTTGAGGTCGGTGCAGAGACAGACACTGCCCTTTAGGGGGGAGAAATGGGAGAGCATCACTCTGCTGACTGGGCCCCTTCAAGTTGATTTAAGGGTAGGTGGGTTCCCATCGTCTGTCAGAAGGGTGGTGGTTACATGGCAGGACCTGGGGAGCAGGGGGATGAATGAAGCAAGGAAATGGAGATCCTCATGGTGCCTAAAGGGACCGTGTAGCTTTGGGGGAGAAGGGAACTCTCCTTGTGGCTTTTTCTTTCCCTGCTTTGCAAGGTCCTTCATTACCAGGCAGGATACACCTGGATAGTATTGGAGCATCATGCAGGAAGACATTGGCTCCACAACCGGGAACTCCAGGCTCTGTTCCCTGAACGTGGCCAGAAATCCAAAAGGAGCTGAGAGGGAGGGAGTGCATGTTGGCTATCCTAGCACACCTTCCCTTTAGCCCTTTTGGTGGTGTATTTCTGCCAGAGCAGCCTGGAAGAGCTGGGACTGTGGGTGGGAGGCACTGTGGACTCTCTCTATTCCAGAGAGAGCGAGGCTCCTTGCTAGAGGCAGCCTGCAGCAAGGAGTATTGAGGGAAGCCAGGCTTCCAACCACCTGCACTGGGCCAAGAAGCCACACTCTCCCACAACTGTGCAGGGACACCCGCCAACAGAGTCAGGTGGAACATTCCCCCACCAATCTAGGACAGACTCTGCTGCTTGTCGAGAAAGAGGACTTGCAAGGGCACCCTGCCCTGGCCCTGCATTTCACCCAAGATGATTCACCTGGCACTCCCGGTCTCCCCCTCTTTAACTAGAGGCTGACATCGGGGAGTGACCTATGCACTGTTGGTGTGGTAGCATCAGGAGGCAGAAAATTCTAAATGTTATCTGTTCGTAAACTGAGAGTGGGCTGACCTTCCAAAAGATGAGTGGAGCCTCCTGCTGCCCCTCAGCGATCAGTGTGTGGCTCCACCAAGTGTGGAGAAGGGGAGTTGCCCAGTGGTTAAAGCGCAGGGCTGGGAGCTGGGACTCGTAGCTCTTACCCCAGACTGCTGCTTGTTTGCTATGTGACTTTGTGGGCAAATCACTTAGCCTCTCTGTGCCTCAGCTTCCCCTTGTAAAAATGGGGGCTACCCACCGGTGGGGCGGGTTGGAGATCGTTGACAGGAGGCATGATTTGATTTTATTTATTTCTGAGATCTGTGAAACTGCCCAGCAATCTGAGGGCCTGGACAAAAGGAAATGGAAAACTATAGACCTGACAATATGCGAAGTGTGAAGTTTTATTCTAGAGAGGGTAACTCCTACCATTAGGGTCTTTCTAGGCGTTCAGTACCGCATCTCTCCTCATGCAATTCCAAACTCCCTCCCTCCCATGTTCACATTGCAAATCAACCAGCAGACGTCTCCAGGGGCTTGAGATCCAAAGGCAACTGAAGTCAATGGAAAGACTCTTGACTTCAGTCATCTTTGGATCAAACCCTAGTGGCCCAGCTGTTGAATCATATGCCTCGGGTCCCTTGTTAGCAAATGCGAGCTGGGAAGTCCCTGTGGGTTTAGTTAACTATCATCTTTAAGATGGAAGTTTTTAGTTTGTTTTTGACACTGTGCACGGAAACTTACTGGTGAACATGTAACTGGCCTTTTTGTAATTCTTTTGTTTTTATTCTTAACCATAATGTCTGTATATCATACCACTTTATATACATATATGTATAATATATAAATATATACTTTTTTTAAACCTTTGGACCTGCTAGTTCCTTTCAAGTATTCCTGCACTTACCTAAAACGTTTTTAAATTGTGAGGGTTAAACTGAGGAGTGAACCCATTTTGTATCTTTCCTTTTTCTTCTGTAGTTTTATTGATTGTACCGTAGCTATTTTTTACTGTAATTTTTGTTCTGAAAATACTAAAAAAAAAAAAAAAAAAAACCCTAAATGTAACTTGTGGTTTCTATTCAGCTTGGGTTTAATGTTTTAAAATAAACAAATGAAACTACATAGCACTGTTCTATTTTGTAACTTTCTTTTATTGGTAGAATCTCTTGCTTTAATTTTGACCTATTTTGCCTATTGCACAGCTAAGTGTACACAACATTGTACAATGTTGTGTAAAGTCAGTGGAGGCAAAGGGAATAGAAACATTACTTAGTACTATGTATTGCACTGAGATCAGATGATCAGAGCAGGTGTCAATCCTGCTAATGCAGTGGTTCTCAAACTTTTGTACTGGTGACCACACTCAGAGGCTTGCTATATGAAAAGGATTTTCCCCCCCTTATAAAAACACTTTTAAATATAGTTTAACACCATTATAAATGCTGGAGGCAAAGTGGGGTTTAGGGTAAAGGCTGACTGCTTGCGACCCGCCATGTAATAACCTCGTGACCCCCAGTTTAGAACCCCTGTGCTAATGCTACCATATGTGCTTTAACTGGTAAAGTTAAGCAAGTGCACAAGTGTTTCCAGAATTGGTGCCTTGTGGAGGATACAGTTTGGAATCTGCTAATATGGTCTGTCTCAGGGGTTTATAACCAGGTTCCAAATATGGACTCTATTCTGAAATTTGGTGTATAACATTTCTGGAAAGGCTGAAAGACACACCTAAAGGGGAAATTCTAAATCAAGGTGATCCTTAAAAACAGTTAAAATTTTCTCTCTCCTGAAGAGTCTGCTGTTGGGCATTTGGAAGGGAAAAATACTGGATCCACTGAGTTTTGAAAACTGCTATTGAGTATTCCTGGTCACTGTCTTGCATAGCACTTTTTGACAGTTTGTCACATTCAGGTGTAACAAGTACCCAGGTGAAATGGCAAAACTGGTGATTGGAGTGTGTGTGGGTGTGCTCGCGCACCTGCCCACCACACTCTTCAGTAATCTTCATACTCTGCTATGGGAACTGTCCAGCTAATGTGTTGGACATGTCAACCAGGGGACTAGATTTTTAGGATGGTTCCAAAACTCACTATCAACTGTTCTCTGTAGTGTGCTTGAACCACAACAAATGAAAAAGGGTTAACTTTACTGGTGAAGTTCACTTGACTGTACACATTCCCATATTTACGAATACAATGGGGGGAGGGATCCCACATTAGACCCTCACAGACCCCTTCAGAAGACTACAAAATCAATGTAAACTGCTCCATAAAATCATCACCTGAAGGCAAGATGACTGGGGCCATTTGTAGTTGAACTGTCTTCCCTCCTTACCTGGCTGCAGAGTAGGCAATAAGTGGGGTGTTTGTTTTTGCAGTTCATCTGTATCATCCTCTGATCACAACAGCAAAATAAATCCTTTTCCTTCCTGTACTGCAGTTCTGGTTGATCTGTTCGGTCTACTCATATCAGTCTTCGTCAAGGGTTTTACTAGCTACCGTCGGTTCTACTCCCTGACCGCTGCATGAATTGAGGGCCACGTGCGTGAAAAGATTAAATCCAGGAAACCACAGTAAAGCCAAACTCGCGATAGTGCTGCCAGCTCTTGCCACTCGTCCCAGTTAACTAATTCAAGCATCTTAGAATGGGGTTACTGCGAAGGGAAAGAAATGGGGACCTCCGGAGTGCTCGTGCATGAGGGAAGGAATCGTGAATGGTACTAGGGAGAAGGCAGAGTAATCTGGTAATGGAAACGCTCCAGTAAAAAAAATTTTAACCCAAATGCTAGCACGAGAGCCCCACAGCCACGGAATTTGCTTTGAGAAACCAGGTATGTGATCAGACTGGGTTCCGTTTAAGTGGTGGTCATCTGTATTGTGCATCTCTGATCTGCTGTGTATTTGTGCAGTACTTTAATGTCACCACCAGGTGGCAGCAGGCTCCACATTGAGATCTGATTCTTCAGCCTCTTACCTGGGTGAAAGAAACAGGGCTTCCAGGAGAGATTCTAGCTGTAGGGCACAATAGAATGTCCTGGATCACCCTTACTGCTACCTCCCCTTCCTCCTGTCCAGTTTCCTCCTTCCTTTTTCCCCCCCCGTACTGCCCGTTGCTGTTGTTATTCAACTTCTGATCTACCCCCCCAGAGGCAGAGAGCTCACTGGACTCCGGTCAGGGTATTCTGCTGCCTCCTAGGACAGGGCTTCAGGAGCAACCTGTGCATCAGATTAACAGGAGTCGTCCCTGGCACTGCAAGGCACCTGTAAAACAGATGGGTTGAGATAGTGGGTTTGGGGTCAGGCCCTTTGTAAGTCAGTGGAAAGACTCCATTGACTTCAGTGGTGTCTTGGAGCCAGACGGGAAG